GCGGGAATCGAACCCGGGTCGCCAGGTTCATAGCGCAGCGCGCTAACCGCTACACTATCGCTTCCCATACGGGCTGACACACACACACGGGGTGAGGACACAACAACAACAACCGCCATTTGCCACTAAGTGGCGGTGACGTCCCCACGACGCTTGTACCAGGCCATGTGCACCTTGAGGCCACGTGGAGTGTCGAACGCCCGCCGGCAGGAGGTCACGGGGCAGACCAAGGTGCCATGGGTCGACTGACTGAGATGACTGGCTGATGCACCACCTGTGCCCCCTACTGTGCCAACCTGCTGTGCTTTAGCCACCCTGCGCTCCGCTCGTTGTTGTGAGCGTCGCTCCTCCGCCCTCCGTTGTTGTTGGAGGGCGACTACCTCCAACTGCCCAGTAGCGTCCTTCACGAGCTTCCTCCACAGAGGCCGATCTTGACACCGCTGGTACCAGTCATCGGCAAGTCCACTCAGCTCCACTTCCTCCTGTACCACATCACTCCATCTCTTCTCTAGCCCGTGCCGCGCCCGCTTAGCCCCCTCGATCCGGCCGAACAAAAGCTGTTTCGGCATGCGGTGGCTGGGCATACGGGCTACATGACCCAGCCATCGCAGCCTTGCCCGCCGGAGGAGCTCACCGATAGGACCTTGCCCAGATCTTTCAAGGATTTGTGAACTCCTCACACAATCCAGTCTGGTTAAACCCAGGATGGATCGTAGGCAGGCCAGCCTAAATGTTTCTAACCGGCGAAGATGTTCCATTGGGGGGGTCCACGTTTCGCAAGCGTAGAGAAGGGAGGGAATGACCGTGGCCGAGAAGACCTGAAGCTTAGTGCGGAGCGACAGACCAGGTAGCTTCCACACAGCGTTACGCAACCGATGAAAAGATATTGCCGCTCGACTGATTCGGAGTGAGGACATACACACGGGCTGACACACACACACGGGGTGGCTCTGTATGCGTGGTGTGCTGCTACCACCTTGTGTTCAACTTGAAAGTAGCACCGACACTCTCCGAGATAAAATTTTAATGAAAACCTGACGATTTTTTTTGGCGAGCGCGTGAACGTGTGACCGCATTTACACCTCCCGTAGCTTCATCGACCATGAGCCCAGACCAGATCTTGCACGTGTCGTTACTTCTTTGGCATCGCTTTAGCGGTTCCGATTTCTGTATGTGGCCAATGAACAGTGAATCGCCTGATGACCGTTTTGAAATGGATGAGTCGTCAAATGATTCACTCGTGTCGCCCCTACATAAACACATGGATATGGACCACACAAGCTCCGCTAACGTAGGTGGTGGTACCAATTGTTTAACTATGGCCAATGGGATCAATGCGTAAAGTTGATTTCCGTCACTTTACATGGCTGCCTGTAGCCCAGCACTGCGGAGGCAGCAGCAAGGGTTGGTGGACCACGCACAGATGTTCTTTAAACTCTCTTCCCGTGGGCGTCGAGGAGGCGCCGTACCCAGGCTCGCCAGGAGAAGGCGGTACATCAAATGTGGACTCCACCTGTTACACCTGTACGGGATCGAGTGTTTCCCCCTCGCACGCGTCGATTTTCTCCGGGCGCTCCGGTTTCTTCCCACATGTGACACTCATCCTTAATTGGTCGATAACACCTTGATGCATCAAGAACCGCAGAGGTTGGGCAATTGTTGCCGCCGGTTCACTGCGTCGGCCGCGGCAGCTGCTACTGCTGCTGCCGCCGACGACTTCCCGTTCGTCTGCGAGTCGTTGTCGTTCGACAAGTGGGAGGCTGATGCAGCTCGGGCGAGCTCCGGGCACGGACGCCCGGCGTTGGGTGGTGTCGCGCTCACTATTGGAGCATCACAGACGTTCTGGCGGGTGGGTGAGCTTATCCACCGTATCACGGACGGGGGCACTGGAATCTCGTGAATGAAAGGATGCAGGGAGGGAGAAAAGAAAGTCAACGTATATTTGGTTTCTGGGGTATTGCTGTTTGTTTGATTACGAAAATAATGATATTAATACAACGTTAAAGAGTTAAGACGCGGCTCATGTTGGTACCGCGGCCATGCACGCAGCAGCAGCAGCAGCAGCTCGTCAGCCATCTAATTAATTTAACCGATTTCCCACCGTATCGACGGCTTTCGTCAATTTAACACGTTGCTTTACAAAACGTCAACATTTGTTGTCAGCACACGAGCGAGGAGCATTACATGTCCCAAGGATTGCCAACTATGCCCTGAGATTACTTATTTTTAGGAATAATTTCATGAATCATCAAGCCCCACGGGATGGTGTTTGAGTAATGAATGCGCCCCATTGATGCGAGTTCAATTCCCCAACTCCGAAACAAAATTATAAATGTCTCCAAATCTCGAGATGATCTCCCCTAGGTCAACTCGGATGAAAATTCACACTGAATAACAAGTGCTCTGTGGGACTATTTGCACCTATCACGTTTGACGATAGGTGCAAATGATTGTTTCTCGTCGAGACTTTTAATTTGAAGGGGGAAAAATTACTCGACATTTGTCGACGTATATTTTAAGTAAAATACGAAAAGTTCACAACAAAAACTGGAAGAGATGTTAAGCCTGCAAAATGATACATGGAATTTCATCTTGATAACGTCAATCTGCTAAATGCGTCAATCTGCTAAATGCAGATTGACGTTATCCCCCCCTCCCTCCCTAAGCCTAAAAATGGTCAAAATCACTCAACTTAAACATTAAAATTCTAAATTTTGATTTAAAGCTTTCGTGACTGCAGTAATTCATATTCTTAGCTCTTTCGGTAAAGTCACGTTGAAGGGAAACAATAAAATAATAAAATATATATAATATAACACAAACGGTCATCAGATGACCTGATGACGCCCGTTTGTGTTATGGTCGAAACGTCGTGAGAATTTTTATTGTTTTATATATATTTTATTGTTTCCCTTCAACGTGACTTTACAGAAAGAGCTAAGAATATTAAAATTCGAGTATTTTTGCCCCATGTTATTTGCGATTAAAGCACAGATATGGGTGGGACATTTCCGGCTACAGGAGGAAACTGCACAATTTAATACAAAATTCCATCGCAGCAATTTATTGTCATAGATTTTTACAGAAAATGTTTAAAGCGTGGACAATGCAGAATGAGAGTCAAATGAACAAAAGCAACACATACTGCATAAGCGCCAATGTATTTAAATGAAATAATTAACATTACGACTGCTTACATCCATAACAATGATGTTTGAAAGTTCTTAAGTGCCAGAAGACCTTCAACTTACAACGCCGTCCCGAAAGGAAAAATCTACTGGCTTTGTAGTTGACAGCAAATTCTTCAGATTTGCCCATAAAGAGCACACGTTCACAGAAGCTGACAGCGGTTAGCCGTGATCACGTGATCAGCAGGTCCCTAGCACCGTCAAACATCTGAGCCTGAATTAGAACCACGATTCCAGAAGAAGCGGGTTGGCACTTGCTAGCAATTCAGTGGCAAGACAAGACTAAGGAATTGCACAAGTCCGTTAGAGAACGTGGCAGGTAGGTACGTTGAACTTCTTTCACACCGTACGTAGCCAACCATAGTAATCGGGAGATGCGGGGGGAAGGACAACGAATTAAACACAAAACGCAGTTCTAAAGCAATGAGTTTTCAATATAGATTTGAAATTGCATAGGTCCAGTGGATTCCTAATATTGGAACGAAGAGCGTTCCAGACGGCCAGAGAAACACATCCAAATGCGCGCGATGCAGTGACCGCCTTTAGGTAATCATGGCTGATATGATTCGGGAAAAAGGCTACGCTGGCCAGGGCATGTGTGCAGGACAGAGGGTCCGGTTACTGAGACCAGCATTGGACTGGTATACAAGTGGTTGTGGATTCTTCTCCGGGTCCTCCGATTTTTCCCTCCAACATTTAGAATCAACGAGCATTTACCGTATTTGGCCACTATACATTTCCACGCGATAAGCCACTTCGTTGAGCTATCCTTTGTGATAGCCAGGTCGCTTCTGAAAAATCACTATAATCTCAGTGGGCCTTATAACCTGGTAAAATCTTTTATTTTTATTTTACAGTTTACTTGAAACTAAGCGCAGATGGCAGGATACTGTGCGGCCAGTTCTTGGAGGTCGCGTCGATTGTGCGACAGCTGCAGGGTTTGGCCGAGAGCGGAAAGCGTTGGCGATGCGCGGGTGTCGTCAACGGATTTGGCCGCGACGACATCGTGATCTCAGATATCGAGATCCCAACGCGAGCACGCCGAAGACACGCGGCAGCGTTCGCTGCAATCCGCCGGGCGTGACGGTGCACGCCTCAATCGAGAAGATCGTGTAGAGGGTGATACCCGATGGGACCGGCCCAAGGTAATGAACCGGGTTTCTTATACACCGTGTCGAGTTACAATTTCTCCCCGAATATGCGTGGGGGTTTATCCCGGCAGTCCCGTCTCCTCCTCCCACGCAAAATAATACCTGTAAAGGAATTGGCCAAATATCCCATGCGAGGCCTTTCCTTGAAAGACCCAAGATTGAAGGAGGCTTTCCTGTATAACCATTATGAATATCACTGTTATGAATATCACTTATGAATGAATGTCAGTGTATGCTGTAACAAAACCGTGCAGAAAGCTCTCTCACAAGCTTTCCAAGGGCGGTGGCACAGTGGTTAGCACACAGTGGTATGAACTTGGTAGGCGACTTTGACGCCTGGTCATGGCTAACATCATTGGTGAGTGAAATCTGACCTGGTCTAACCACCCCCGTCCCCACCTCTGCTGTTCAGCAACCCACACTGACAAGCGTGAAACATATCGGACTCAAGCTCCGTGGTTTTTTATGTACGTACGTAAGTTGACCTTTCACACCGTGTGAAGACAAATGTGCCAATCGGAGGTGCGGGGTATCGTGGATGATAGTGATGACGAGACGGGAGGCTTGATGAAACGGCTGTCAACTAGTTATCCGTCGCGAAAACGTACAATTATTTTTTACTATTAATAAAGGAATGGGAAATGCAAACTTATAAAGGATGCATCGTTGACGTTTTTACATTTTTATTTTAAAAAGTCCGCGAAGTGTACGTTTTTTGTCACACTACGTTTAAATCCGCGCATTAAATGTAAAAAAAAAATACTTTAAATGACAGCAATTACCGTGTCGTGAAAAAAAAAGGCAACAATATGCAGCATATAACCAAAAGTTTGTAATCACGTGTTCAGAACTTAAGGCATAACATACGTATGTTGAACTTCTTTTGCAACGGACGTAGCCAACCGTGATAATCGGAGGTGCAACATGAGCATAGAGTAGAAAACAGTTTTTATTATTATTTAATAAAGATTAATTACAAGTATCTCTGCATTTTAACGAAGCCAATCGCTCATGCAATAAATGTGAAATGTATTTTAATTAAGTAGTCACTGCTTTGACCCTGGTAGATAAAGGTCATGTTTAGAACAAGGATGGTGTTCCGTAAAGATAACGGTTAAGTGGACACTTGCGAAGATTACAACGGGTAAGCAATGACTTCCGCGAAAAGATAACCGAGATAAAAAAAAAAATCAATGATGCTTTTTTTAAATTTCCTCCAATTAAGTAATTTGCGAGTAATTTCTAAACATTTCACGAATAACTTTGCACGACCTTTAAAGTTCGCCACTGAGAATCTGACGGCGCGGCCGGTGGCTTCTCACCGCGAACAATCCCCAACAAACGGCAAAGGAAGGCGCCCGCTCCCGGCCACCAACTCGCACCTTCCCGCCACCCCGCGCCACTTAGCTAAGTGCGTCAAGCGGCAGCGTCCTGCCAAGTTTACCGTTCTCGGGCAGGGCACGTGGGTCGCCGCCGTTGCCTCAGTCGAAAACAAATAAACAAACAAAACGCAATCGTTGTTGCAGTCTCCGCCCGATGTGTGATGGAGAACGTGAGTAATCGGCCATCCAACGCCGAAGAGAGCCAGGTCAGTACTCGTCGCTCAGGAATTCCTCTTCTGCATTCTGGACACAAACAGGGGGACGGCGGAGTCCGTCCGCACGTCGGTCGGTGAACCGGCTCGATCAGGAGTCGGCAACCCGCGGCTCCAGAGCCGCACACAGCTCTTTGTGGGCTGCTTCGTGACATTATTTATTAAGGACCGACCACCGTCTCTCGTACTCACGTGCATTGCCCGACCTTGACATATTTTTTGTTACCTAATAAAAAAAAATCGTTTTTCGTTATATAGGTTTCCAACCCCTGGACTAGACGCAGTCTCCACGCCGCTGCAAAGGAAACTCCTGTACTGTACGACGCAAGTCTTCTACTCCCAGCTTCGTCGTGGTGTGCGTTCAAGAGGCGGGCAGAGCAAAGCGCTTCAAGGATGTCCCCAAGGCCAACATGAAGAAGTGCTCCATCGACACTAACTCATGGGAGACTTCTTGCCCAGGATCACCTATTTCAAGGATCCAAACAATTTGAAACTCAACAGCAGAAACAGGAAGAGGAAAATGGGGAATGGGGTAAAGAGCAATGCTGTAGCCCGATTAACTACTGCAGTTCCAGCCAACACTCTTCCTGGACACATGTGCCCAAGCTGCACCAGAATCTGTCAATCCCAGACTGATCTCTTCAGCCATCTTGGGACCCATAGATAAACCAACTTTTCTATGGAAAACAATCATCCTCAATTGCGAGGGATAGCCTATGATGATGTATGCACATATTCTTTGGGTCTTTCGGTAAAGCCACGTAGATAGAAATAAAAACAATATCACAACGTTTCGATCGCAACACAAACAATCGTCATCAGGTGAAACAAATAGGGGGAACGATGCTGAGGCAGGCTGCTTATAGATGAGCGGGGCGGCTAACGTTAATGTAGGAGGTCTCCGTAACCTGCAGTAGATCTACACTAATCAAAGAGCAAGCCGCCGTGTACTAACACAGCTAACGGTGGCTGTGTTAGTGAATGTAACTCAGAAACGAAGCTGTGGGGGTGGCCATTTTATTGTGGGAGATTAGCATGTCAATGTGAGCATGTCAACCTTTATAAAGCATCATTATAGGACCTCCTTTGCCAGTACCAAAATATGAGAAGAGGTTTTCCCCTTTTTTCCGGCAACAAAACAGGTGTTAAGATGTTAAAACACCAAACTGAAACCTTTACCAAGGAATCATGTCTGAATTAACCACAATACTTGTGGTCAGAATGCAAACAAAAAACACACTGATAATATATCCAATGGTCTTTGAAACTGATTGGTCCACACCAGACAGCTTTCTTTTGAGCCTCGTCTCAAAACGGTGTTAGACCAGAGGACGCCCCCATAGCTTCGTTTCAGAGTTACATTCACTAACACAGCCACCGTTAGCTGTGTTAGTTAAAGGCGGCTTGCCATTCTTTTCCACCTCCATGTGGCGATGGCTGTTTCCGAGCTCTCTATGAGCTGACATTTAGAAGCATCTCTAAACCTTTGTAAACAGCTCTTTGATTTGTGTAGACCTACTGCAGGTTACGGAGACCTCTCCGACATTAACATTAGCTGCCCCGCCCATCTCTAAACCTTTGTAAACAGCTCTTTGATTGGTGTAGACCTACTGCAGGTGTCGGAGCCCTCTACTACATTAACATTAGCTGCCCCACCCATCTCTAAACCTTTATAAACGGCTCTCTGATTGGTGTAGGCCTGCTGCAGGTTACGGAGACCTCTCCTGCATTAACATTAGCTGCCCCGTCCATCTCTAAACCTTTATAAACAGCTCTTTGATTGGTGTAGACCTACTGCAGGTGTCGGAGCCCTCTACTACATTAACATTAGCTGCCCCACCCATCTCTAAACCTTTATAAACGGCTCTCTGATTGGTGTAGGCCTGCTGCAGGTTACGGAGACCTCTCCTACATTAACATTAGCTGCCCCGCCCATCTCTAAACCTTTGTAAACAGCTCTTTGATTGGTGTAGACCTACTGCAGGTGACGGAGACCTCTCCGACATTAACATTAGCTGCCCCGCCCATCTCTAAACCTTTATAAACAGCTCTCTAATTGGTGTAGACCTACTGCAGGTGTCAGAGACCTCTCCTACATTAACATTAGCTGCCCCGCCCATCTCTAAACCTTTATAAACAGCTCTTTGATTGGTGTAGACCTACTGCAGGTGACAGAGACCTCTCCTATATTAACATTAGCTGCCCCGCCCATCTCTAAACTTTTATAAACAGCTCTCTAATTGGTGTAGACCTACTGCAGGTGTCAGAGACCTCTCCTACATTAACATTAGCTGCCCCGCCCATCTCTAAACCTTTATAAACAGCTCTCTAATTGGTGTAGACCTACTGCAGGTGTCAGAGACCTCTCCTATATTAACATTAGCTGCCCCGCCCATCTCTAAACTTTTATAAATAGCCTGCCTCAGCACCTTTCCCCCTCTTTTTCGCCTGATGACGATTGCTTGTGTTGCGATCGAAACGTCGTGATATTTTTCGATTTAAAGCTCGTGATATTATTATTTTTTTCTATCTACGTGGCTTTACCGAAAGACCCAAAGAATACTAATTCCTGCAGTCACGAAAGCTTTAAGTAAAGATGTATGCACAATTGAAAATTGGAATTCAAAAAAGTTCAACATTCCTTGAGCAAAATGTGCACGTTGTATATTTGCCCAAAGAAGGTGACAGCCCTTTTGGTCAACCTACTGCTGGATGAGCCACTGCGAGGATGACTGGAGTTCACGTGATGGTTTATGCTACTTAGTGAAGGTGGAGCATAGATGTGGAGGCACCGTACAGTACTGCTAACCCCCAAAGCAGCCTATCGTAACATGACACACATGGTAGTCACCCACCAAAGCACTATCCAGGCTCAGCGCTGCTTAGCTTCTGAGATTTGACGAGCATTGGCGATGCATTTCAGGCGATTTTAAATTGATACCCGCCTAGGGTATTAAAAAAGGGAAGACTAACAATTAATTTGGTTTCTTTAATTATGAATCATGTCACCTCTGGCATCTCTTCATCTTCATCATCATCTTCTGCAAGCACCGATGCCTCCGTTTCAGAGTCTTCGCCCTTGTCCGTCTGCATCATATCCTGAGACAATATCTCCTCGCCCTGCACCAGACAACGGGGGAACAGTTTTTACACTAATCAACCGGCTGTCTGAAGACGCCACATCGCGAGAGACACCAACTCACTCTATGACGAGCAAAGCAATGGAAAGCAAAACCGCGTGCGGGCCAGCCATTGAATGACAACACGGCACGCAATGACACGTGGCCCTTGAGAAGTTATATTGACGGCAGAAACATCGCGATTTAGGATAAAAGAAAATCGAGCGATCTTGGTTCAATCCGTATGAGCATGAACACGCACATTAACTATTTAACTGCATTGATTGTGCCAGGTAAGGCCCACTGAGCTATATAGTCATTTTTCAGAAGCGACCTGGCCACAAATGATAGCGCAATGAAGTGGCTTATCACGTGGAAATTTATAGCAGCCAAATACTCTAAACGCACGTTGATTGTACATGTGGGGGGGGGGGGGAAACCGGAGGACCGGGAGAAAAATCCACGCGACCACAGGGAGAACATGCAAATTCCAAATATAATACAGGTTTCAGGGAGGGATCGAACCCACAACCTGCTGCACACCAGGCGAGGGAGACAACATCTCGCCACTGCGGCGCCCCTTATTATTAACTTCATTAACTTGGGCCAATTCTAAACCATGCAGGGCTGGGCAGATCTGCGGTAGAAATTTAATCTGAGAAAGGGAAAGGTCACAAGTTAGAATCCTGGTAAACTATCGACCCAGCCCATCCTCCCCTGCAGGGTGTCAATGGTGATTCGTCCTATGGCTGTACAAGGTGGTCATCCTACAAATTGCCTGGCCCCCCACAATTAGAAATGTGAAATTTCCACCCTTGGATCAGGGCCACCATAGGAGACGGGCACTGGGTCATGTTTATTAAACTAAAAAAAATAAACTATTTTTACTTTTCCAGGTGAGGCCCACTGAGCTATGTAGCTCTTTTTCAGAAGTGACCTGGCCACAAATGATAGCTTAACAATCTGGCTTATCATGTAGAAATGTATAGCAGCCAAATACTATAAACACGTGATGTCAATTCTAAATGCGGAAGGAAAAACCCAATGACCTTGAGAAAAATACACGCAACCACGGGGATAGAGACACGCAAACTCCAAATCTACAACTAGCATCGTCAGGGTCGGGATCGAACCCATGACCTCCTGTATACCAGGTGAGGTAGTTAACATCAACTACAACAGGATAAAGGCACAGCCCTGCAATTGCTTGCTCTCGCCACTGCTAGCGGCAGCGCCTCCACTAGAGCGAGCTCCTCTGGAGCGTACTTGGTCTCCTCTTTCACGGTGGCCAGACGTTTTAGAATAGGTGGGAGTACGCAAATTCTACCCCCACCCCCTGTCCACTCGTGACCTCCTCATCGACTCATCGCCTTGGCTGCCGGTCGTACTTCTGGGAGGACACAAGCGACGGGGCCGGAGGGGGGGCCGGCGGAGATTATATTTGAACAGGCAAACTTTGGTAAGCAAGCCCAAAGCGTTACCGATTTACACCGCGGTGGCAGCATCCAACCACACCCTGGTTAACAACAACCGGCGTTCACCACGTAGCAGCAGTGATGTCACCACGGTGGTTGCGCCGTGCTAGATGCACCTTAAAGCTATCGCGTGAAGGTGTCAAAGGTCCGCTGCTGGCAGGAGGTCACGGGACAGACCCGGGTGCCGTGGGTTAACTGAGATGACTGGAAGATGCACCAAATGTGCTCTCCACTGTGCCAAAACCAGGTTTAACGAGCGGTTGAACGCGCGGTTGAACACCCAGTTTGAACAAAACTGACAAACGAAGCAGGGAGCGCGGCCGGGATCGCTGGAAGAGGTCCTCACGTGCAGGTTACGGTTTTTCAGGTTGCCGATCCAGAAGGCCTCGTGGCACTTGTTCACGGTGAGCATGGCCTTGACACGGTAGACAAACGACTCGAGCGTGCGCTTCAGCTGGGGCACGCAGTTCATGAGGTTCACGTTGTGGTTCACCTGCACGGGAGGGAGCGGGGGAAAGCGGGGACAAGGATATATGAAGGAGTGGGTTAATTAATGAGGCAGGCAGGCAGGCAGGCGGGCGGGCGGGCGAGGGCAGGGGAGGGATAGCAAACATCAGGGGTGTGATTTGCATCCCTGTGTGGATAGGGGATCTCACTTGGCAGCTCAAAGACAGATGCTGGGAATTTTGTGGCGAGACAAAATAATACATTCAGAAGTCTGGGAGAGTACGTGGCCGGTGAGTGTTGCAGATATGGGTGGGGCGTGTGCAGGATCGGGAAGGCTCGATTGCCAAGAGAGGCAGACGGACAACTTTAATGGTCTCCATGAGTACGGAGACTGAGGGGAAGAGAGCTAAGAGGAGGGAGGTGGGAGACTGTCAGGGCAGAGCGTGGAGTTCGCTGTGTTGTCTGCTGCGTGGCAGCTGTGGGATCTGGCAGAGGGGTGGAAAGGGTCGGTGAAGTGCTGCGTGGCATCAAAGGATTTGGCCAAGAAGACACCTTGATCTCGGAAAAATAGATGGCTTACGAGAAACTGCTCTCTAAAACGCATCAAGTACGCAAGTGACTATTCACCGTCCGCCGCCCCCTCCCCCCCCACGAGCTATTCGATAAGCTACGGTGCTTTGCGGTCCCAAAATAACTGATTGAGCGACGTCTTCTGGTCACATGCGTGTGTGCTAGGCTGCCAAGTTTGGGCGATATGGTAGTGAGACGTTAACTCCCTCGCCTGGTATGCAGGAGGTCGCGGGTTCGACCATGACCCTGAAATCTGCTGCTGTATATTTGGAGTCTGCGTGTCTCTTCCACCGTGGTTGCGTGGATTTTTCTCCGGGTCCTCTGGTTTTTCCCTCCACATTTACAAACGTGAGTTTAGAGTATTTGGCTGCTATAAAGTGCATTCACGTAATAAGGCACTTCGTTGAGCTATCTTTCTGATAGCCAGGTTGCTTCTGAAATAGAGCTATATAGCCCAGTGGGCCTTATCTGGTAAAATAAGAAAAAAATTGTTTGTGAGGTCGATCACAGGAGGGAGTGCAATGGGAATTTTTACTAAAAAAACAAAAAACCTCTAGAGAACATGCCGAGGTGGTGGCCGGCGTGGGTCAGAGGGACGCGACGGAGACATCAAACGATTCGCACCCAACCCCCACCTGCCCCGTCCCCCACTATTCAGGGTCGTGATTCGGTTCAAGAATGTCGTCTTTAACATTGAGGTGCATCACAGTGCCAGCAGCTGCAGGGGTCGTGCGTGAACCCAACGGCGTAGTGCCGTGCGCGTGGGAATCCACGGGGTCCATTCTAAGTGATGAATCCGGGCGAAGTGATGGTTCCTTAGCCGTTACCTTGGAGTGACCACACATGTGGTGGAGCTGCCGTGTGCTCAGTTGAAGGTTCTTGAGCAAACCGTTCACTTCGTCCTGAGCACGCACGCACATACGCACGCATATACGCACGCACATACGCACGCACACGTGCATGCGCACACACGCATACAAATTTGCACAGCCAAACACTTTACAGACGAAGCAGCCTGCGTGTATAACGGTCGTTTGGAGTTCCACGCTCTGGCACCGACTGTGAATATATTTCGTCCTTAAGAGATTTTAAGTGTCGTTGTTAACTCATAATAATGTATTTATCAAGGAACCACACCGAGTCGAAGGACTCTTTTTCAAGAGGGTCCTGCTCCTGCTACATTCGCCTTTTATTTGTGAGATGTTTTCAGCTAATGAATGATTTATCAAACAAGCGGGAGAAAAGTTTCTTCTCGTCGTTTCTCCGTCGCAGCCCCCATCATCTGGAATGCCATCCCCCTCTTCACATCCTTAACGATCAATACGTTTATTCGTTCAAAGACCATCTAAAGGCACATCTCTTCAGCTCGACATTTAACCACCAAGTCCCGCTGGACCGTGCGGCACGATCTGACACTGAGCTCGACTCCGCACCTGAGAAATGCTTCTTTGGTCAGCAACATTGCGCACGTTATAAATTGTATTATTATTATTAAAACCGGAGCACCCCGGAGAAAACCCATGCTCACGAGGGGGCAACGCTCTATCCCCATACGGATAGAAACAAATGGCGAATAGTCCACTTGCTGCAACACCTCCTCCTGGCGAGCAAGGGGATAGAAGCACCTCCTCGACGCCACATGCGTAAGCCGCCAACGAAGCATAGAGAACATCATGCGTAGCCCACGTTGGCATCGAATTAAATCGGCCCTAGGCTGGTAAACTCGCAACACGGGAGAATATACAGCTCAGTGGGCCTTACCTGCTGAAATAAAAATAGTTTATGTCTCTACGCGTGGCAGGAACGCATTTTTACAGTTCTGCGCACGCGTTCTTCTGTCCACTCACAACACACGCCAGTCTAACAGTCGATAATTCATTCGACCGTAAACCACGGGTCCTTTAATCATTGTCACGAGCTGTGCGGACAAGGTCAAACGGCGTAAACATCTCGGGATATGAATGCGAAAATCTATCCGCTTTTGGTGGGGGGGGTGGGGGGAACGCAGAAAGAAAAAATGTGCGCAGGGCACAATGGGAATAAATTATTCACGTGGCACATAATGCCCGAGTGCCTTTGCCGGTTTCCCACTTTCACTCGTCCGCGGACGTTACCACCGACCTTGTACTTTTTGAAGGTGCAATCCAGCAGTGGCATTCCTTTTTTAAGGAAGGCCTCCACAAACAGGCGACCGTACTGCAACGGGGGGGAGGGGGGGGGGGGGAAGAGAGACGGCGATGTGTGTGACGTCACGCGACGGCCAGCATCAACAGGGGCGACGGTGACAATGACGGTGACAATGACGGTGACAATGACGGTGACAATGACGGTGACAATGGCGGTGCCGCCGCAGGCGCTGGTGCTCATAATGCCGGCGAGTCGTCGTCGTCGTCGAGATGCACCGGCCTCACTGAGCCTCAAGAACGTTCCTAGGTTTTTTTTTTCTTTTCACTTTCCAGGAGGCCACTGTTTGAGAAATTTGGCTGATTGATAAAGTTTCTTGCGAGCAGAGCAGTGGCTGTATATGAGATTTGGTCCTAATATATCATCAATCTACGGCGTCATGGGATGCAATGAGCATGAATGACGCTGTGGAAAACGAAAGTATTATTATTCTGTAGGAATTACTTCCAAATATCAGAGCTGTCTCATCTGCTTGCAATTGTTAGCCATCCCACCACGGTGATAGGTAACCGTTAGCAATAATACACCAGTGGTTTAGCGCCTATTATCTCCTTGGTTAGAGGAGGAGATGCAAGGCTGCATGTACCTGGACTCACCTTTAGGCAAACTCTGAGACTCTGTCTTCCATCAAAAGTCTAGGAAACAGAAGTGCACGCAGAATGTATAAGTGCGCTCGGTTCACATTTGTGTGAATGAGATGGAGAAGTGAAACTGATTGCCGTTTGTCCGTGAGGGATTCCGGATGGATTAAACAACACTGGTGTGCTTTACGTAATTTATTAAACAACTTCAGTCACTATTTAACATGAACCTTCTATACTGGGAAGAAAGCTGGCAGTGCCTATAGTTAAGCACCCTGCGCTGCAAACCCTGCGACCCGAGTTCGAATCCCGGCAAACATCGGTTGACGAGCAAGATCTGAACCCGTTCCGGGCCCCTCCTTGACTGACCAGCCCTCACAATGGACATCTGTGAAAAACAACTTCATGGCTCATTGGATTCCTCAAGTGTTAAACAAAAAAAAATCCGATTCTGATTCAGGGAAAATGCGGTCGTGGGTACGGTGTGCGGCGACGAGTGGATTGGTGCGGACGAGTGGCTCCACCTTGATGAGGTTGACGAGCATGTGGAAGTTCCGGACGCCTGCGCTCCACCGCATCAGCAGTGCCTCTTGGACCTGGCAAGAAAAAAACAACTCAATAATGTAACAGCCATTATTTTATTATCATTATTTATCAATACACCGGTTTAGCCAGGAAAGCCTCAGCCGAGCCTCAAGACTCTATATCCGGGAGGGTCCTGCCAAGTTTTCGCAGTTAGGGAGGGGCTGATGTTACTGCAGCTATTGCTGCAGCGTGCGATCCCAGTCGAGTCATTTGCGGGTAATTGTTCAGGATTGGGATGTTTGGCCAATACCGGTAATGCTCTGTGTGCGTTTTTCGCCATTGGAGGAAACCCATGCAGAACAAGGGGGGGAGAGAACGTACAAACTCCACACAGGTATCGAAACCAGGCTCTACATGCTGATGCACAAGCGTTACCACCTACGTTACCACCTACGTTACCAACCGTGCCACCCTGCCGCCCCAAGATTCGCTTTTAAAATACGCGTACAGTATTTTTTCACGGAAACCTGCGAACAAAAATGGATAAGGATTAGCAGTTGTAGAGTAGTGAAATGCTTCAGGATCTCAAAGCGCCTACAATTGACATCGCATCTCATTTCACCCATCCCATTGCCCTGTGACGGTCTGGCTCAGGAGAACCCCCAGTGGAAGCTGTCTGAACCCTGCGACCCGAGTTTTACTCCCATCCCTGGCTAACAGCGGTGGCGAGCGACATCCGAATTGATCCTGGGCGCCTCGCTTTCCCCCAAACCCGTACGACCAACAGCACGGCACGGGGACGCCTTCATCCAGCAGAGGATTGACGAGTGGCCTGTAAATTATTAACTCATCGCTGGACAGTTGTTGGAAATCCAATGGCCGTGTGAAACCTGGCACAGTCACAAGCACTGCGCCAATAACAGGTGACCCAAAGGAATGCGACCGAGTCCACAGATACACTCGGTGCACACACGGAGAGGCCCCATTACTGCTTAACCGGTAAAGGTGCAGCCCTGCAATGATTCGCTCACACCACTGCTATAGAAGCAGAAGGGCCTCCAACTCAAGTGGGTATTTTCCAGGGTACCAGGTTAGGCCCAATAAACTATAAAGCTCTGTTTCAGAAGTGACCTGGCCACAAATGATGGCTCAGCGAAGTGGCTTATCGCGTGAAAATCTATAGCAGCCAAATACTCTAAACGCATGTTGTTTCTAAATTTGGAGGGAAAAAACCAGAAACCCGGAGAAAAATCCACGTGACCACGGGGAGAACATGCAGACTCTAAATATAGAGCGGGACATCAGGGTCGGGATCGAACCCATGACCTCCTGCATACCAGGCGAAGGAGTTAACATCTCACTAACATCTCGCCACAGTGATGCCCTCACCCAACTCTTTTGGCCGACTCTTTCACACTGGCCAGAGCATCTTGGAAGGGGTGGGAGTACCCACACTTTACCCCACCCGCACACGTGATGCCAATCGACCTAACCGCAGTAAAACCGTTTACCCCGCTGGGTGGACAGAGGCGGCGGCGGGGGAAATTTAAGAAACACGCACCATCGATTCAACTGCCGCGCCGGGAGATTGGTACCGGCGAGATTTAAATTGCCAGCACGGCGTGCGCCAACCATTACACCGCGGCACAGCATGGTGATTTTCCATAACGTCATCCAACGGTGGAACTTTAATCATTGACAACACATTTGCGGTGTTGTATTTCCAATCGGAGAGGCAGGAGCCAACAGATGTTTGCATTGCTAATTTCCACTTGGGCGAAATACTTATAGGTCAAAGAAAAAATAACCAAACTCGTTTCACATTCAACCAACTCTGAAGCGGTATGCTGCGACTAGGACATAATGGACCGTTGCATTATTGAACGTTGTTCGTAACTTTGGTACTTAAGAATTTTCCTGGCATTCCCTAAGTAATGCACAGGATAGGCCCAATCGTGCAGAACAATAATGGACTCACACACACACACAGGGAGCTCTTTAGAAAACGCATGCATCCTTTGAAAGAAACGCAGCACATTCATCAATAACAAAGTGTGGCCTTAGAAGAACAACAAATGCACAACAGGTGATGTTCAAGGGCAACCGCCCTTATTCGTAGCGGGTAAAGTAGTGCTGCTCGGTGCCCTCGTCACCTCGTCCGAGTCGGTGGATCGTCCCGCAGGAATCGCTTTGACGGCCTTCTCGAGCCGCTCCATCACGACCCGGTAGAAGATTCCAAACACGGCCCTGTGCGACGCGACACAGCGCCACAGCAGTGGCACTTCAGACAACGCCCTTTCCCACTGACAACATCCGACACCGCGCCAGCGCATGTGGCCCCTCACAGTACGAGCGGATCTCTCCAATTTGTCCTTCGACCCTCGCACATCTCTGATCGGCAATGGGTTGGCTACGTACGGTGCGAAAGAAGTTCAGCGTACGTACATGCAGACGTACGTACGAGACATCTGGCTAAGGGGGCAAAAGCAGGGCCCCCGAGAGGCGGGGTTGAAGTGGCGCGTTAGTTCGCGCGCGACTTCTGTTCGGTGTGCAGTGCGAACACAGCGTCCCCCATGTCGGCTACGCGTGGTCTCCACTCGTTTGGTGCGTTGCGACGACAGCGGCTTCGGCTTCCGCAGTGGAGGGAAAAAAATAAAATAAAACCTCCCGAGCCGTGCCGGGCTGGCTCGGCATGGCGCTGGTGTGTGGCTCAGTTTATCTCTACTTTTCCTCTTGTAGTGTTTTACTTGTTCTTAACTAGCAAGCCCATCTCCCCAAAACAGAAGATTTAGCTACAATGCAAATGAAGAAGCTGAAACGTATATGAAACACATTCACGTACTGACCGATTAAACACGTAAACGTGCGTTTACATCATTTGCTATTAATTTCCACATAATCAGCCACTTTGTTTCGCTATCATTTGTGGTCAGATCGCTTTAAAAAAGAAGCTAATAGCTTAGTAGGCGTTACCTGGTAAAATAAAATGTGACTTTACCGAAAGAACCAAAGAGTATGGATTCCTGCAGTCACGAAAGCTTCAAATCAAGAATAAAAATAGTTTATTCTAGATTTGAAAATTAAAATAAAAGATAAAAAAGATAAAAAATAAATTAAATCACGACGTTTCGATTGCAACACAAGCAATCATCATCAGGTGTGAAAATCACAGCTAAATGTTTTTACTAAAGTGGGAGAAATGCCGAGGCTAAGGAGTTTATATAAGTGTGGACGTCAGGGACTGGGACGTGAGACTGTGCGGGGGGGGGGGGGAGTGGGGCTAGAAGCGAGAGTTGAGGGAGAGACGCGAGGGGGGAAAGAGAGACTTCGCCGCGGCGATCTGCAGTTACAGCCGATGTTGGCGCCCAAAGCAAAAATAGCAGCACTGTTAAACGCTGGGGATGCAATTGACTCGGTAAAATAGACTAGTACCTGTTAAATAAGATGGGACAACTATGCGCAGTTAAAACTTTTTTTACCTGGTTAATAACATCTTTCCAATGATTGCTCAATTTGTTCCCATCTTCACTGTTGAAGTTATGTCAATGTTTGTACATCTGGATGGCTGCATGAACAAATCTTTGATGGTAGCCAGACGGCTTGCAGAGCACTTTGGTCTCGGAGAAAACAATATCATGAGAGCCCACAGCGTTGTAGCAGTGATCAGCCACGGCGGAAGAGTTAGTCCTGCCGTGTTTCAAATCTGCCTTGTGCTCGCGAATACGGTCTGATAGTTTAGTTTTCGTTTTTGTGCGTGATTTGCTTACCGTTCCTATAATTTGCAATCCTTTCGTGTTTTCGCATTGTTTGTTGTTGTAACATTCGGACCCGCCCCCTACTGGACACGTGTGAAAATGAGCTTTAGAGCTCGTCGGATTGCTCCAGTAGACATCACGATTCTGATTGTGATAGTGAAAACGCGGCGAGGAACCGTGCATCGTATCGGTGACGGCCAGGGGCCACGGGTCGCCCCCCCCCCCCCCCCGGACGCGCGGCGACCTGGTGAGCGTGGGGTAGGTGGCCGAGTGGCCGTCCTTGTCCACGTGGACGAGCTCCGTGACGCCCTTGATAGCGATGTCCTCTATCGCGTCCAGCACGTTCTCACAGCTGTCCAGATAGATGCTGCGCCGTCGTCAAAGGGGGGAAAGTGGACGGTAGCAGCTTAACACGTAGTAGTAGGCTATCGCGACCAATATTATCCATAATCAAGGTTTGTTGGGTTAGATCGTGTAAATATCAATGTGTCGTTAACCAGCCACGTCCATTTAGTAAGCTTTATCACGTAAACAAAACGTGTCAATTAGTTACTAGTTCATCACACCGGTGTGTTGGAGAGTAAAGCCGCAACATTTAGAATTTGAGTACGATGTTTCACTGGTGACTACAACCAGCTTCATGAGGCGATAGCCAGGGTGGCAAAGCATTTTCCACGGCGGTGGGAGCCGCCCGCCTACCACCCCTCACCACAGTCTCACCAGAGCAAGCTTTCAATCAGGGATACAACCACAATCTCACCAGAGCAAGCCTTCCATCAGGGATACAACAACTACAGTCTCACCAGAGCAAGCCTTCTCCATCAATGATACAACCACCACAGTCTCACCAGAGCAAGCCTTCCATCAGGGATACAATAACTAAAGTCTCACCAGAGCAAGCCTTCCAACGCCTTGGAGTAGTTACTTCCCTTCTCCCGCTCTCCCGTGGGCCCTACCCAGTGCTGCTTCAAAAACCCTTGTGCAACGGATACTGGGGAGGGGAAGATGGGAGGGGCCAGGCACGGCACACACACATAAAATAAAATCATCATCATGGCATCATCATCATCATCCTCATCGGAACAAAATCGGAAGAAAAACTGACGACGCATACGTACGTCATCGGAACGTGAGAGGGTTAAGTAATTTGTGAGCAATTTAAGTGCGATAGTTGTGACGTTTCGAAAAGCAACACCACAAGCCGTTACCGATTTCTTTGCGTAGTTCCTTCTGCTCCGGGCTCATCTTGGCCATCGCCATGAGCAGCCGAGTGAGGGTGAGCGCCAACTCGCACGAAGGGACCGTGGCAGAAAAGTTCCGCAGGTATGAAAACGCGTGGCTTAGGGGGAAAAGGAAACAAGACGATGAAAACACAGGATCGCACAATTGCAGCGTCGTCACGTGACATCAAGGTCGAAGTGCCGCACCGCTCAAAACGAGAGCGGATCGGCGCTGGCATCCGATTGACGGCTCTGCTGCGACTTCACACATGATCGGTACTCGATGTATTGATCCTGGATGGATGACAGGCTAAGGGGACCTTGCAAGTGCGATTTGAACCCGAGGACCTTCCAATTTGTCGGCACGCGAATGACGAGCGCGACATTGTGTTCTGTCCCCGTAGGTCGGCGCGCGGCCCCGCACGTGTGAAAGAGCACACGCGAGAGAGTGGCTGACCTTGCCGCTGTGTAATGAAATGCGCAATCACCGACAAGTTCAAAGTTAAGCAGAAACCGTAACAATTGGTAAAACAATGTAAACTCGCCTATTTGCTGCTGTGGTCGTTCCACTAGAAATGTTGCCACAATGAAAATTAAATGGTGGGAAAAAACCTAGAGAAATAATCTCTTAATACACAAGTCATAATCTTACCTATAAAAGGCATTCTTTGTCTGTCTGTTTGTCTGTGTGTCTGTCTGTGTGTGGACGAAACTTGCGAAGGATTTGTCTCGCGAACCGTGGGGTTTACGTTTTAAAAAGATTACCCAGGTACCACGCCATAGGCCCCGTGGTGAGCCGGGGCTATTCCATTTTCGCATCCGTCACCTTAAAAGTAGTTAAAGTAGCCATTTGTAACGATTATTATTTATATATTACATTACGCCGCTGAGCACGTGCCAAAGCACGCATCTGCGCATGTGCGACACAGCTGACTGGGGGTTGCCCCTAGCAACGCACACGCCTTCGCTGGGGGGAGGGGGGAATTGCCATTCGGTTTAAAAATGCTAAAAAAATACACGCAACCCCGAGGTTAATTCATCGGTGTCATGTCCTCTTCTCCCCCCCCCCACCCCAATGTGTGCAATTACTACTATAGAGTCGGTAGAAGCTACTACTATAGTCCGCAGATAACTACTGCAGAGCGGGCGGGGGGGTATGGTGGAGCGGCGGCGCCTGGGTAGCGGCCCAGCCCCAGCCTGCCAAGGTGCCACCTCGGCCAGCTGGGCAATCTAGGCGAGGCCGGGGGCTCTGCACGGGACTAGGCCTCACCACTACACTCTGTGAAGTGAGTACTATTATAGAGTCGGTCTATACGACGATGCTACTACTATAGTCTGTAGATAATTACTGTAGAGCGGGGGGGGGGGATGGTGGGGCGGAGGGGGGTAGCGGCCCAGCCCCAGCCTGCCAAGATGCCACCTTGTTAGTAGTTACTACTATAGTCAGCGGATACTACTATAGAGTCAGTAGTTACTACTATAGAGTCGGTAGATGACTAAATAGTCAGGAGCTACGACTGCAGTCAGTAGATACCTCTATGATCAGTAAATACTGCTACACTCAGTAGATACTACTATAGAGTCCAGTAGATGCTACTATAGAGTCAGTAGATACTACTGAAGAGTTAGTAGATAGTACTGCAGTCAGTATATACTGCTACAGACAGTAGATACTACAACAGAGTCAGTAGTTACTACTATAGATACTATCGTAGGGTCGGTAGATACTATAGTCAGTAGATAATACTACAGTCAGTAGATACCACGACAGTCAGGATATACTGCTGCAGAGTTGCTATGTATGACCATAGAGTCAGAAGATACTGCTATAGTCCGCAGATACTGCTATAGAGTCTGCAGATACTGGTATAGAGTCTGCAGATACTATTTTACAGTCAGCAAATACTACTATGGAGTTAGTAGTTACTACTATAGAAAGTAGATACTAGTATTGAGTCAATAGACACTACTATACCATCAGTAGGTACTACTGTAGTGATTAGATACTACTGCAGAGTCAGTAGTTACTGCTATAGAGTCGGTAGATTTCTCTATAGAGTCGGTAGATACTACCGTAGAGTCGGTAGATACAACAATAGTCAGTAGATAATAGTAGTCAGTAGATTCCACTACAGTCAGGATATACTGCTGCAGTCAGTAGTAATGACTATAGAGTCAGTAGATACTGCTATAGATCTTCTTTGGTTCTTTCGGTAAAGTCACGTAGAATGAGAATAAAATAATAAAATAAAACAATGAAATTCTCACGACGTTTCGGCCACAACACAAGTGGCCTTCTTCAGGTGCCAAGTCACCAATTCCCAAGGAAGAGCAATACCTGATCAAACCAAGGACATCAAAACCACCAAGACTTTATGGGCTACCATAAATTCACAAACCTGATGTCCCATTAAGACCCATAGGTAGTACAATAGGCTCTGCCACGTACAAATTAGCACAATACGAAACGAAACAAATACAGCCCTACATCGGGAGGACCTCTTCGAACATATCGTAAATATAATCAAATATATGAATCTTAACCCTAATGATATTCTCGTAAGTTTTGATGTGACTTCTCTGTTCACGAGGGTTCCGGTCAACGAGTTAATTTAATTACTCGACACTCTGGTAACGAACAAAGGTTTAGCCAAAGATATCCCAAGGGTAGCTGAACACTGTCTAAAGAACACCTACTTCTTGTGGCAAGGTGAATTCTATAAACAAAACGGAGCAGCAATGGGCTCTCGTTTGTCTCCTGTGATAGCGAATTTGTACATGGAAGATTTTGAAACAAAAGCAATAGCTTCAAGCACACTAAAACCATCTGCTTGGTTTAGATATGTGGATGACACATTGGTGGTCTGGCCACACGGCAAAGATACACTGAACGCATTTCTAAATCATCTCAACTCGCAAAACCCATCCATCCAGTTCACCATGGAAGTGGAAGCTGACAGAACTCTACCATTTATGGATATTCTGCTCGGACGGGGTTGAAATGGAAAAATAACATCGTGTTTACCAAAAGGAAACGCCTATCTGAATGCAGAGTCACACCATCACCCCGCACAGAAATCTGCTCTTATCAAGACGCTCATTCATAGAGCTAAGAAAGTGTCAGATGGTGACAGTCTGAGAAGTGAAATTTAACATTTTAAAGAAGCACTGCAAATGAACGGTTACAATGATGTACAAATCAACAGGGAATTGAATTCCAAAACCAATCAAATAACACGAGCATTGAAACTGCCCAAGTAATTAAAACGATCAAAATACCATACATTGCCGGAGTAACTGATAAACTTGCCAGATATTTGGAAAATCAAAACATCCGAGCCAGATTTGTCACGGTACATAAAATACAGAAATTAATATCTGGTATAAAAGATGTATTACCGAAGCCATCAACAGAAGGTGTGTACAGGATTAACTGCACGTGTGGTAAATGTTATGTTGGGCAAACAGGACGAATGATCAGCACAAGACTAAAATAACATTAGAAAAATATTAAATTCCCCCAAATGCAACTGTCAGCAGTAGAAGAACACGGGTGCCAACAAGGATACTCAATTGATTTTGATAATGTTGACGTTCTGTGCAAAACTAGCTACTGCTGGCCAAGACTAATTAGAGAATCTATCGAAAGTGAAAAAAATAAAAATAACTTTAACCGTTCGGATAGCTAACGCCTTTGCTGCGTGGAAGAGAATAATCAAATAATACATTATTTAAATGCATGCTTACAAAGGGCAACGTACTTCAATAGGGATTACCGTTGGTACGGCTATTTTAATAAACACAATAGACAGGAAGGACAAGTTCAAAGGGCTCGCATAATGCACATGCATAATGTACGTTGACTCAGTAATCCCCCCTCCCCACGTGCCACAAGAGCGCAGAAGCGTGGTCACCACACCTACGCCTCTATATAAGGAACGAAACAGGAGGACTTCTCCACAAATTTGGCTCTCGCCTGATGAAGCTAGTTGTAATTACTGGCGAATCGTCGTACTCAAGATTGTAAATGTTGTGGCTTAGCTCTCCAACACACCGGTGTGCTGCACTAGTGACGAATTGGCATGTTCTGTTTACATGACAACCCTTACTAGTTGGCTGTGTCGGGTGGTGGCGGGTTTTAACGACACATTTATATATTTACGCGATCTAACCCAAAAAACCTCTATTATGAATACCCCTTCTTATTCTAAGCCTTAATATAGGCGCTCACAAATATCACTTCCCCCCTCACATTCTGTCTACAACAAGATACCCGAGCACATTTTTTGAAGGCAACCATCGCTGCCAATTGTCACCGTCAACCGTTGCCGGTGACAATCGTTCCGTTGTAAAAACTTCCGTTGCCCTCATCTGGAAAAATCTGGGGTGACAACACTGGCAGCCAAACTCCGAATACGAATTTGGCCTTAAGGCTGCACGGGGGAATCTACGGATTTGGTCTTCGTGAGCAAGTGAGCGCCGAACACTCACCCAAGCAGCTCGTCCATAGACATCGCTCCCTCTCCGGGCTTGAGCCTCAAGGCCAGGGTACCCAGAGCATCCTTAAGAAGAGGCTTATTCTCCAAATGCACAAACCCGCTCCTGCGCACAGGGGCACGCACAAGACAGAGCCAAAAGCATTGCAGAGACACAGGGCCCAGAGTGGCAGGATTCACACACGTTGCTGACAGCGGCGAATGTGAACGGCTAAGGCCGAGACAGCTCACGACTGTGTACCAGACGCCCGCGGTGGCGAGATTTTAACTCCCACGCCTGGTGAACAGGAAGTCATGGGTTCAATCCCAACCCAGACGCCTGCTCTGTATTTAGGAGTTTGCATGTCTCTCTCCCCATGGTCACGTGGATTTTTCTCCGGGTCGTCCGTTTTTCTCTCCACATTTAGAATCACCGTGTGTTTACATTATAAACGACTTTGTTGAGCTATGATTTGTGGCCAGGTCGCTTCTGAAAAAGTGCTACATAGCTCAGTGGGCCTTACCTGGCAAAAGAAAAAATATATTAGTTTCAAATAATTTCGTTCACAAGCACTAGTTGGACAGAGACAGAACGTTTAGAAATTGAGCGGCAGGGTGGCAGTGGTAACGTGCTGTCTGGCTTCACGTCCGACGTTTCGTTCCACATGCCCTGACAAAGCGAACTGCTCCGTTAAAGAAGAAGCTTCTCGCGGCGCTTGGAGTGAAACGTCGGTGGACATCCACGCCGAACAACGGACGGTACAACCCGACAGTACTCGGGAGAGGGCCGTGCAGCAAAGGCGTCGAAACCTACACAGTGATAAACATCCAGCGTGGTACACACGGGCAGTACACAAGGGCGGTACACGCGGCCGGTACACAGGGGCGGTACACACGGCTGGTACACACGGGCGGTACACACGGGCGCTGTACACGGCTACATTACCAAGAGAAGAGGGTGTTGAGGGTCTGTAGAAGGAGTTGGTAGCAGGAGGACATGACTTGGGTCTCCTGGACGTTCACGTGCGGACCATCCGCCAAGCCATCGTTCTCGGCTTGCGACATCTGCCACACAAGCCGGCACAAACAGCAGTGTTAACCAGGGTGGCCTGTATGTACGTACATTGAACACCTTTCGCACCGTACATAGCCAACCATGCTAATCGGAGGTTCCGGGGGAAGGACAACTAAACACAAAAAGCAGTTCTAAAGAAATTAGTTTTCAATCTATGTTTAAAAGTGCACAGTTTCAGTGGCTTCCTAATATTAAAACTATGAACATTTTTTTTTATTTTATCAGGTAAGGGTCACGGAGCTATATAGATATTTTTCAGGAGCGACCTGCCCACAAATAATAGCTCAACGAAGTGGCTTATATTATGGAAATGTATAGCAGCCGAATACTCTAAATGCACATTGATTCTAAATGTGGATGGAAAAACTGGAGCCGAAGAAAACCCCACGCGAAAGACCACGGGGAGAGAGACATGGGAACTCCAAATATACACGCGGCCACGGGGAGAGAGGCGTCACAGGGCCGGGATCAAACCCACGACCTCCTGTATACCAGGTGAGGTAGTTAACATCTCGCCACTGTGGCTCCCCCCTGCCAGATTCGCCCTGCAACAAGCGACGAGCGCGCTACCGCTGAGCAGCGTCACCGCCGTTCACTGGCACGGTGATTCGCGCGCCGCACCATGAACGCGGCGAACAGAGTTCCATCCACGACCATGGCCGATCATTGGTGGGCGAGTGTAGCAAAGTAAAACAACCTTCATATCCCACGTGGTACGGAAAGGCCTTCGCAGAGCAGTGGATTGACAAAGGGTGCGAAAACAACCGATTGTATCAGTGCGCAGAGTAAAAGTTCTTTTGGAAACAAAAACTCGTGAGAAATAAACGTCAGAACTTTTGAATTTAAGGTGTTATTTTTGTAATTGGAAAATGCCACTCAGCATGTTGCATTTGTTCCCTTTCAAAGTAGTATTTTGTCACCTTTAAATGCGAATAAAAATTTTAATTACGATGAAAGTTAACGGCTTTGCTTCCAAAACATTAGCATTGTTTGAACGTAATTATTTCTTAAATGGATTTTAAATTGCCGTACGACGCCAAAGCTAAACTATTACTCTCACGAGATAATATAAAAAAAACACTTGCCTACATTATCGTTTATAGAAACAAAACTTGCACTTTTGCCCATTTGCAGCGTTGCTTCAATGTGACTGCAGTTAAAGGTTGTGCATAACTTCTCTAAATAGTGTCCTAAATACACAGAATTGTTTATAGATTTTTTAAAGAAGTGCAGTGTATAGTTTTATCGCACTGAAATCAAAGAAAAACACACGCAGGTATTTGCAATATCAAATATTAAAGCTAAATTTCGATTTAAAGCTTTCGTGACTGCAAGGATTCATCTTCTTTGGTTCTTTCGGGAAAGTCACGTAAAATGAGAATAAAATAATAAAATAACACAATAAAATTCTCACGACGTTTCGGCCACAACGCAAGCGGCCGTTTGCGTTGTGGCCGAAACGCTGTGAGAATTTTATTGTTATTTTATTATTTTATTCTCATTCTACGTGACTTTACCGAAAGAACCAAAGAAGAGAAATATTAAAGCTGTTTCAAAGCACAAGTAATATTAGCTAGGCGAGACATATATATGTATATATATATATCCACCGTACGTATCCAACTGTGCTAATCGGAAGATGTGGAGGAAGGACAAACTAAACACAAAAAGCAGTTCTAAAGAAACGAGTTTCAATCTAGATTTAAGAGAGCATAAGTCCAGTGGCTTGCTAATATCGGAACGAAGAGCGTTCCAGACGGCCAGAGAAGCGCATCCAAATGCGTGCGATGCAGTGACTGCCTTTAGGTAATCGTGGCTGGTATGATTCGGAAAAAGGCTACGCTGGCCAGGGCATGTGTGCAGGACAGAGGGTCCGGTTACTGAGACCAGCATTGTAGTGGTCTCCATGGATCTGGTGATCGAACCAACGACTTCCTGGTATACAAGTTGTGGGTTCGAACCTGACGCATGTATATTTGGAGTTTGCGTGTCTCTCTCCCTGTGGTCGTGTGGATTTTTCTCCGGGTCCTCCATCCGAAAGCGCGCGATGCAGTGGCCGTCTTTGTTCGATGACTAGCCAAAAACTGCTGCGAGGATGACCGGAATTCGCGTGGCTTACGTTCCTTGACGAGCTCAGCGACGAGCATGTTAACCCTTTCCCATTCCAATGACGCACGTGTACGTCCATCAGTTTTTCTTCGATTTCCGTTCGAATAACGTAAGTGTACGTCTTCAGGTGGGAAGACGTACCGAGGCTCCCACAAGGCCATGCGGGAGGATGTGTGGCACAGTTGGTGCCAGCTATCGCTACAGTTTTCTGCGGTGAGTACCAATGTCTTTAAAAACAATGGCGCTACGGCTCTGTAAATAAAATTAATGCTAACCGCTTGTGCGTTCCGAGATTCTGCAGTGAACAAGACCCCCCTGCAGACGTCTTTGATTGGGAAAGGGTTAAGTGTAATAGGTGCTGCTGTAGAACGCCAATCCAGCAGTGGCAGGGTTCGAGCAAGTTTCTCAAATTCTCCTCCCCACCTCTGTCCACCCAGCAGTATGAACGCGCACGCCACAGTTCGTTGATTTGATTGGCAGGTCGCTGTGTCGTGGGGTAAAGTGTGGGTACTGCCACCTATTCCAAGATGTCCGGTCAGCGTGGATGAGTAGGCCAATTCCCTCTATAGCGGCTCTCGAGAGCTCCCTCGAATGGAAACCCATTACGCCAGCGGTGGCGTGAGCAAGGAATTGAAGGGCTGCACTTTTACCGCGACCGATCAAAATCATAACCATTTCAATCTATGATAGCTTCCCAGATCCTTCTCTAAATCAATCTTGTTTAACACATTTAACTGCTCACAAATTAACGATAATGCTTTCATTTTTTTTTTTTTTACAAAGAAAAGACGCAACTGTGTGATCACATTTCACTTAAAAAAAATAGTTTACAATATAAATAATTTCGCACAGCCAGTACATTGAAATACATCCGAACACTTTGGAATATAATTTCATTGGTTTTTGTAATTCATTGCCAAGGATTTTTTTCTCTTTTACGTGTGAAAAAAAACATTAAACTGATTTTCAGGGAAACTCTCTCTGCTTCTCCTCTTGGGCAACATTTTAAGCAATCGATTGTAATTCTCCGAGTAAGCCTGGCAGACACTCACATCCCACAATCTCATACAAATTAAGTCGGTAATGCCAGGGAGATTATGCCTGTCCACGGAGCCAACGGGGGGGGGGGGGGGGCATGTGCTGCCCACCCCCCCCCCTCTGGTGAAGGACGGCACACTTGTTCCGTGATGTTCCCCTGAACACGCGCACACGGCGATTCGAGACGAGCCGCCAACAGGGTCGCTCGTCAGCATGTCAGAAGGCTTTCGCCGAGCGTCACGGGCTAAACGGGACACCCCGTTCCGTGGCAATTCCTCGTGCCATGCCCCTTCGCAGCAACAGCAACAACAATCTATGAGGTTGTCTCTTCCGCAGATTTGGGTATCTTTGCCTCCGTGAGAAATGTAATTTGCCCATCAGTCACATGACCTACCAAAGTCAATTTTGCAATGCAATGTTATGGTTCACTTTGACCGGAACGGAACCAGGGACATGTCCAGAGAGGACTTTGGGGCGTAAGGGTGGTGATGTTGCTCAGCGGTAGGTAGTCCACTCAGAATCAGAACCTTTATTTATACTGGAGTAATCTGATAAACTATTAAGCTCTTTTTCGCATATGTTCAGTAGAGGCAAATCAGAACATTACAACAAACAATACAAAAACAGGGTAGGAATGCAAAGTGTAAGAAAGGTAAAGAAATCACTTTAAAAATATAAAAATAAAACTAAACTATTTTTTTTATCTTACCAGGTAAAGCCCATTGAGCTATTAGCTTATTTTTCAGAAGTGACCTGGCAACCACAAATGATAGCTCAACAAAGTGGCTTATCACATGGAACTTTATAGCAGCAAAATAATCTGAATAATCTCAATGAGTGTTTCCCGCCGCTCGTTGAAGAGGTTCACGGTTCGAATCCAGCGGGCACCCTGGTTAGCACTGCAGTGTGTGATAACCATAATAACACTACGCGCTGTGTGCTTCACTCACAGTGGACGTTAAAGATCCCATGGTGTCATTCACAAGTGTTTGCCATTTTGTTCCGGCACGTTGGTCCAAATTTGGCAACATTCAAAAATTTCCCGCAAATCCCACAATTGGGAGTACAAACAGCAATCATCGCCCCCTACTGACAGATTAATGCCCTGGGTCTCACTCTTCAAAATCCTTTTCGGGTTGAGTTCTCAGCTGGTTCAACAAAGTCATCTTGAAACGTATAACCCGTTTTGTTTCATCACCTGTTTTGCAAAGTGCCCGCGTGGTGGAAGGGCATTGCCCAACGAGGCTTCAGGTCGCTTGCGACGTGTGGTTTTATTTTCATCCACCGTTGTCAGGTTTCTTTTTTCCCTTCCCTTCCGCGATGCAATGCATAATGCTCCCCAACGTCAAAGGCTCCGCACGTAGCCTCGATAGACAATGCTGCTCAGTCACAAGTGACACGAAAAAATTCCACTCCAACCAGGCAAGTAGAGAAAAGGATGGGCTCGAGCTGGGAAGATTAACTATTACGAGCCGCTTGGGGAGCCAAATAATTAATGTGAAAGCATCGATGGATGTTCAACAAACACTGTGGTGCAGTGCGGACACTGGCAGGAGGTGTTCACACGACAGCTACGATGCTCCAGCAGGGCCAAGCTGCCTCGTTAAAAGACTTCTTAAGTGAGCCGTAAATGTCCGTTTGTTAACGCGAGTGACTTCATTTCCACAAACCCTCAATTTATTATGCATGAACGGTGTTGTCTCGGTCGTTTTCCCAATTTAATTCAATCGTGCTCTCGGCGATATGCCACGAGACAAAGTCCTTCAGGCAGTCTACAGAAAGAGATATTACAGAACTCCCTCTGAGAGCCTTTAAAGTGACCTATTATCCAATGGATGGGGCACTGCAGGTTCCCTTACACCCTGCTATAGAGATAACAAAAACAAAATCAACACATTCATCAATAACAACACTGCCTCAAAAGGCAAAATATATAATGGGCACCAGCTTCAGGCAACGGTTAGCACCGCAGGGGTGCCACAGTGGCAAGATGTTAATCACCTCGCCTGGTATGCAGGAGGTCGTGGGTTCCATCCCACCCCTGACGCCTGTTCTATGTTTGGAGTTTGCATGTTCTCTCTCCCCATAGACGCGTGGATGAGTTGAGAGTATTTGGCTGCGATAAATTTCTACATGATAAGCCACAAAATAGTTCAGTTTAATTTAGTTTCCAATGCTTCTATATATGTCCATCACCTGACAATGAAACCAACGTTGTTAATTCTCCGAGCTTTGATTTTGTCAAATTAGGATGAAGACGTTAACGTTCTGTGCAGTGCCTTATTTTTTTTGCACAGTCATTAGCGAATGGGCTGCTAAACGTCAACTCATTACGTGTGATGAACTAATTTAATCACGCGTGGCTGGCACACAGATTCAAACTCCGAGATCAGGGCGACGCTGGCTTAGCGGTCCGATCCCTGAGCCCACGCGGGCATAGGTCCCAGTTTATGGATTTTAATTATTTCCGATCGATCACCGCGTGCGCGCGGAATATCGAGAGCGTCTGAACGAGACGGCCTTTTAATTGGGCGCTCGTGAAATTTGAAGGCAGGGGGTGGCGTTCTGTTTAAAATTCTCAGCGCAACGGTGTGTTTGTAGCCAAATTGGACATGGGACAATGTTACTAATCACACTGACAGCGCGGCGCGAGTGATTGCCGTTCGCTGCACTCAAGAGCCGCTCGCCAGCTCTTAATTGAGTAACCAACTCCGCCAAAGCGCCCCAGCATTCCCTGACGGTGTGAAATGTGCCTTCTGAGTAATTGTTTTTTGCTTCTATTAATATTTTTTTCTAAATCTTAATTATTCATAGAAATGTAATTACCTGCTTATTCAGTGATCAATGATGAATCGCAATACACGCCGCTTCACGCACCGCTGATTGGATTTCTGCATCGGGAACATTTTTGGCCAACTGCTGTTTGGTGCACCAACTGGACCTAACTTTTTTTCTCGGAATATTTAATTTCAACTTTACATTTTTCCCAGGTCGCCGGGTTAGTTGTGTGCCAACCCACTGTGCCACCGCTCCCAACGCAGCATCTCACTCACTAAACAACCGCTGGCGCCATTCGCCACTAAGCGGCGGTGACGTCACCATGGAGCTTGAACCAGGCCAGGTGCACTCGAGGTCACGTGAAGTGTCGAAGGATCACTGACAGGAGGTCACGGAACAGATCCAGGTACCACGGGTTGACCAATTGAGATAACTCACTCACACGCACGCACACACACACGCACGCACGCACACACTTCCTACACTTTGGAGGTGCAGAACATTATTGACCGCGTGAGCCTCATCGTGACGCGACGAGCTGGCCAACGCTCCGCACTCTGTCAGCGGCGTGGGTCTCACGGCTCAAGATGTGATCAAGGTGACAAGGCCGGCCCTTAATTCCCTGGAACAAGCCGTGTAAGTACATCCGCCACGTTTGCCATGTGCTGGAAGGCGGGGCCGCTCACGATCAATCGATCGGTGCGGCGCGTCTGCTCGCGCGCACCTTGTACCGCTAAGGACGAATTACAAGCTGCTTTCCTGCGCAGTCAGTAGCAAGTGCTCTCTGCTATAAACGTTACGCATTTTAAGATCTGCGTACACATGCCGTCACGAGCTTGCAGTGTGTCGGCTGGCATCCTGCAAACGGTAACAAAAAAAGACCGCTATTCTCCATCTCTCCAAGGGATTTTCCAGGTGAAACATTTGTATTCGACACATATTGCCCTCTGACCTGGAAGTAATTGTGAGTGCCTTCCAGGTGGTCGCAGAGAGAAGCCAGGAGGTGCACGGCGTGGCTGGCAATCTGTCGCGGCGAGTGCTGCATCAGGTTCGCGAAACCCACGTCCTGGTCCGCCTTCCCCTGCACAGCAACAGCGGGCGAATGATCAAGCTCAATGTTTCTTCATTCTTCATTCAGAGGTGAGGCGGGTGGGCAGCACTTTCGCCAATAAAACATCATCACTGTGAGGGCCTCCACACATTTTAAACCATTGGGGTTTGACAGCACGATGATGGGGGGGGGGGGGGGGGTGTTTTCACACTTGTGCATTGTCGGGGGGCCACACTAAAAGACCACCAGGGGGCTGTCAGTGGCCAGTGGGCCTTGCAAATGAAGAACTCTGATCGCGTGGCTGGTTAATTTTTTTGTTTTGTTAAACCAACGCGGCAACCCAAGAAGCCAGGACACAGAGCGTCACTTGCGACAGGGAGGTGACACCGGCGTTACCGAAAACAGCACGAGCAGCAAAAAACAAAGGACAGTACGGCGATGAAGTGGATGCATGTATTTATGTATGTTGTGCATGTATGTTGTGTATGTACGTGGGGAGCGGTAGTGTAGACGCGCAGCAATACAAACCCGGCGACCCGAGTTCAATTCCTGCTCACGACCAACATCGGTGACGAATATCTGAACCGGTCCTGGGCCTCCCCTAGGTCGACTAAGCCTTAAATGAGTACTAGGTGCGGTGAGTAAACCCCGCCACTGGGGAAACAAAGGCGGCCAGGCATGGTGCTGGCCAACCCACCCCCTCGTGTGCCATGCAGGCCTTCATAGATGCTCGTTAACAGCACTTGCCCGAACAGTCTGTTAAGGCTACACCCAAAATCTGTCTTTGTGTACATATGTATATTGTGCATGTATGTTGAACGTCTTTCGCACTGTACGTAGCCAACCGCGCCAATCAGAGGTGTGGGGGAAGGACAAAAAACGAAACACTAAAAACAGTTCTAAGGAAATTAGTTTTTAATTTCATTTATTTTGAAGTGCATAGCTCCAGTGGCTTCCCAATATTGGAAGGAAGAGCATTCCAGACGGCCGCAGAAGCGCATCCGAAAGTGCACGATGCAGTGACCTTCTTTGTTCGATGGGCAGCCAAAGGCCACTGCGAGTCAAGAACAATCAAAACAAAAACAAACACACCACCGCGCGAGGGACAGAACAACAATAGCAAACATGAATCGACGTTAAATCAATGCTAAATATTAAATTCCCCACAGCGCAAATCGGCTCCGGTAGATCGTCGTAGGCACTCTTATTATTTTCATTATCATCACCGCAGGACCATCATCATATTTGCACATGCATCAATACTTTCAAACCGTCATTGGTGAGCATTAAAACTCTTCACTCACCACCTTCAGGAACATGGTCCGCTTCGACGTGGTAAGGACATGATCAAGCTTTTGGGTGAGATCGTCCAACAGAAACATGAGCTCAGCTGGTCCCAGCTGCATCACTTCCGTGACCTGCAAAACAGCCCAGACAATACTCATCAAATCAATAACGCAGCCACTTCGTAGGCTCCCATCATGTTTCGTCTGTACAACACGCGCTGTGCTGTTTCTTCTTTCATACGGGCTGATGCAGACGAACAGCAACAACTACAATGTCACATTCAGGTAGTCAAGCAAGATAACCGTGTCAGGAGCAGCATTGTGTCGCTGCGATGTTTTAACTACGCTATCACTGAATTGATACACAACGTAAAATGCTGGGATAAAGCTCGATTGGTGGAGGTGGTAAGGGCTCCCGGCTATGGGATCACGAGTTTAAATCCTGGCCAGGGTTGACTTCGCCCCATCACCATCATCATCATCTCCTCTGAGGTCTCGTCTCCTCTCTGAGGTCACGTAAAACGACCATCATCTGGTGAGGTTACACCGCTCAGTAACAAGTTAACCATGGTTATCATACAGACAGTCGAGTTACTGCCATAGCAACATGGAATTCAGATCACCGGTTTGGGGTGGCAAAACAGCTCAAGAACTCTTCGAAGACGGAGGACAAGAACATTTTTCCGCAGCAATGCAGCAGCACGTTGCTTGCCCACGCTCGCGACTCAAAAGGTGGTGGCACCGATTTAACTCAGGAGGTTGCGCGTTGTTGGGATCAATCGTAACGGTGGGAACAATCCACCGCTCACTCGGCCTGCTGCGCCGCTACCACCGTTGTGCGTGGGTTCGTGGGTGGGTGCGTGGGTGGGTGTGTTGATGCATGCATGAGTGGGTGGGTGCGTGCGTGGGTGGGTGCGCGCGTGGGTGGGTGCGTGCTGCACCTTGGTGTCCATGTGCGAGTCCAGCAGGGACTTGGTGAGCAGCCCCATCTGCAGGATGCCGAACACGTGGATGTCGAGCTCACGCATGTATGCGCGGTAGCTTGCCAGGCTCACCTGCGGCCGCTCCTCCGCTGCCTCCTGCCGCCGCACGGACACGCACAACATAGTACGGGCACCCCCGTCAGCCAACTTCACAATTACTCCCATGCCCGGCCTGGCGTGGGCTTATATTGAGCTGCTGATAACTCGCCAAACAGGGCAATCGTTTTAGATTGAGCTGACCCGCAGGACACCCGTATCAAACATTTGTATGCAACTAACACACATGCCCAAACATGTACTGAATGGTATATGCCAGTTTACTTGTTATTATATCCCACCCACAACCTGACCCCCTCTGGGTGTATCCTGATTGTGCTATCGACGTCCCATGATCAGATGCAGTATCCATTTGGCTGTCTCTTGCAGAGCAAGTGGGTGGGCGAGTGTGTTGTTCTGATCGGCAGTGTGGCGAGTAAGTGATTGGTTGACTGCTTGAATGAATAAGTAGGTGAGTGAATCTGTTCTTGTGACCTGCAGTGTGGTTAGTGAGTGAGATATTGGTTCATTGAGTGAGTTTATTGTTGTCGTCTACAGTGTGATGAACGATTGGGTGAGTGATTGGTTGGCCAAGTGAGTGGGTGAGTGAGTGAGCGTGTTGTTGTGACCGACAGTGTGGTGAGTGAATGAGTGACTGGTTCAGTGAGTGGGTGTGTTGTTGTGACCTACAGTGTGGTGAGTGATTGTTTCAGTGAGTGAGTGTGTTGTTGTGGTCTGCAGTGTGATGAACGAGTGGGTGAGTGATTGGATGTTGTGACCTGCAGTGTGGTGGTTGAACACAGTGTGCGATGAGAGACGAAACAGTCCGTTTTGGAGCACGAGTCCTCCACACGAGTGGTGGAAGGAATCTATGAGCGAAGTTTATGGAAACATTCTTTGGGTCTTTCGGTAAAGCCACGTAGATAGAAAAAATAATCAAAATAATAACAATATCACGACGTTCCGATCGCAACACAAGCAATCTTCTTTTTTCACCTGAAGACTATTGCTTGTGTTGCGATCGAAACGTCGTGATGTTGTTATTATTTTGATTACTTTTTCTATCTACGCGGCTTTACCGAAAGACCCAAAGAATATGAATTCCTGCAGTCACGAAATCTTTAAGTCAAGATTATGGAAACAGTTAACCGCGGTGGTAGCGACAGAAATATTGCCACGATAACCGAAAGCACAATTGGGACGAAATTGGAAGAGAAAATTACAACGACAACAACAAAGACACAATCAGAAAAGCATTCTCAAAATGCATTCGGTAACGAACGACCTTCCGCTGCTATGTCACAGTGCACTGGCATTGCCAGAAAGGTCAGTGTAGCCACTGCGCCCGGGCAAGCGGCAACACTGCACGGCGTCGTTACTTTGTCGTCCTGGGTGCGCTCTGCCGGCGCCAGCGTGTCACCCATCGTCTCGTCTCCCTGCAGACTCTCTGTCGACGTGTTCTCTGCGCCATCCGCTTTCCTCTTCTTGCCTGAACAGCGGGAGATGGCGTGACGGTGAACAATCGGACGAGCGAACAGAGGAGGTGCTCCCAGCCACTCCGTTGCAGGTCAAAATTTCACGGCGATTTCCTGCACAATTTTCGTCATATCATATGTACGTTGAACTTCTTTCACAAAGTACGTAGCAAATCGTGCTAATCGGAGGTGCGGGAGAAGGACAAACTAAAAAAAAATCAGTTCTAAAGAAATTAGAAAGCGCACAGCTCAAGTGGCTTCCGAATATCGGAAGGAAGAGCGTTTGGATCATTGCACCTTGATCACATCGTCTATGTTACTTACCACAATATTATGTTACCAGATAATGCAAATACTCTAAACGCATGTTTCCAAATGCGGAGGTAAAAAAAAAAACGGAGGACCCAGAGAAAAATCCACACGACCACAGTGAGAACATGCAAACTGCAAACATGCAGGCGTCAGGGTCGGCATCGAACTCACGTCCTCCTCTATACCAGGTGAGGTTGTTAACATCTGAAAAAGAGCTATATAGCCCAGTGGGCCTTACCGGGTAAAATAAATTCTAAAAGTTAACAGTTTATATACTTTATAATGCCACCCCCGCTCAATTTGGACCGACAAACCTTTAGTTTTTTTCTTGGGCTGAGTTGAGGAATTTGCCGCAGGGGCGCCGCCCTCCGACCCTTCACTGTCAAAGTTTGCCGTGGGCGGTTTGTATCCAGGTGTGGCTGTAAACAAGAAGTACGAATGTTTACAAAAATACAACCAAAAATAAAACACTCGGCTTCGTGCCGGCAAACGCCGTAATCCGCGAGGCGAGGTCTCCCTTCCGGATTACAACAATAATACAAGAATAATACTTTCATTTCATCTTGCGTAATTCAAGCTGTGAGCACCCCATAACGCGGCACATTAATTAATCCACGTGCGTCAGCGGTCATGTTATTTTGGTGATCTCGCGTAACTGAATTATTATGTACAATTCGCACAACAAAAAACACTTTTGCTGAACTCCATATGTTTTAAACGTTTTTATTTATTCGCCATTCGAGGCCCATTGATCCGTCCTCATTCGTCCGCCCCCCCCCACCTCCAAATCCCCACCTCACGCAGATTCATAGACGCTCTCCAAATTCAGGGTCACGATTCCAGTCAACAATCGATCTGATGTAAAATGTTTCCAACAAAAAGTCTCTTTAAACGAGCGTTTTAAACGTTTTTTTAGAAATATCAGGCATTAGAGGTGTAATGATTCATCGCCTGCTTTCCGCCCTTCGCAATGATTCAAAGAATTGTCACAATTCAGGGTCACAGTTCTATCCAGGAATTGATTCTTCTTAACGCCGTGGCGAATGTAACAACCGCTATGTGTGCACTGTCCCAACGATAGTGATGATAACATCGTAGCTGTGAGCAGCTTGCTTTTACATAAACTCAGTATGTACATGAAATGCAGGATATAATTGGCGATAAAGTGGCTAATGGTGATAGAGGGGGTGAGGTTTGTTCCTGTGATCAAGGAAATGCTGACAGGCCATTATAACTAAACTCTGAATGTGTATTTATAAAAAAAAAATGGTTGTCGTTAATTTCTCATGAGTTCTGTCATAACCACAAAATAATAATAATAAATTATTTTAGTTTATGCAGCGTTAGGCATGCAACAATTAAAATCCCCTGCGATGTATCTATGTATGTTGAACTTGCATACCATATATAGCCAACCGTGGTAATTGGAGGTTGCTCAAGAAGAAGCACATTAAGGTCCTGGAGTGCATAGCCAGTCTCCAGACCTTAATCCCATAAAAAATCTGTGGAGGGAGCTGAAGGTTCGAGTTGCCAAACGTCAGCCTCGAAACCTTAATGACTTGGAGAAGATATGCAAAGAGGAGTGGGACAAAATCCCTCCTGAGATGTGTACAAACCTGGTGGCCAACTACAAGAAACGTCTGACCTCTGTGATTGCCAACAAGGGTTTTGCCACCAAGTACTAAGTCATGTTTTGCAGAGGGGTCAAATACTTATTTCCCTCATTAAAATGCAAATAAATTTCTAACATTTTCGACATGCGTTTTTCTGGATTTATTTGTTGTTATTCTGTCTCTCACTGTTCAAATAAACCTACCATTAAAATTATAGACTGATCATTTCTTTGTCAGTGGGCAAACGTACAAAATCAGCAGAGGATCAAATACTTTTTTCCGTCACTGTAAGTATACCAGTGTATTTTCTATGAACACCTATGTTTTTGATGGTATAAGTATACCAGTGTATTTGCTACCAACACCTATGTTTACCTGCCAGACACCTCTCCAGAAGACCCTTCACCTCTGTTATGTTTTCCAAGCGGCGTAAAACCTTCGCTTTCATCTCCGCGTCCGACTGCCTGCAGAAGGCGTTCACCACCTGCTCGCGTAGCCGTAGCACACATGCACAGACACACAGACACACGCACAGACACAAAGACACACATACATACGAAGAGACACACATACATACAAAGACACCCACACACGTCTAACTCAGCTTGTCATTCACTCTCTCACTGCTCTTGACTCGCGCTGTCGCAAGTGCAGAACAAGTCTCCGACTCTCCTAGTTTCAACGTAAAACCTGGTGCTCTTACGCAGCCCAAGACACAAACAATTAGGCTTCCCCTGCTGTTTGTGAGTCTTTAAATCTGCACTCGTGGGCATGGTTTAGAAATAAACATATTTAACATTAAACCAGGTATGCCTCGCCGTGTCTAAACTTTTCTTTTTCATAGGGGCGCTTGCATTACAATGCATTACAATGCTTGCAATACATTTTAATGCATATTGGTATATTTGCATTACGATGCATTGCAATTTCTTTGCCAATGCCTTTTCCGGAGAGTTTTGCTTGTGGGAGGAAACCGGAGTTCATATAATATTTTCCAGCTATTTGTGGGCGGCAAGCCCCACCTCGCGAAACCAGTTGAGGGTGAGAAAGAGCGCGGTGCAGAGCCACTCGCGCTCCTGCCGCGACAGCGACTCCACCTTCTCCACGAGCTCCGGGTCGGCCACGTACAAGGGACAGCCTGCGGGGTGAGGGGGGTGCAGCGGACGACAGCGGTACGCGAATTGCAACATCGCGGCGGGGCGGGCGGTGGGGGTTGCAACGGCAGGGGCGCTCACACCTCGTGGGGGCACGGCAGCGGGCGACGTATACGCAGCCGTGTTCGCGTCGTTTGCGTTGACGAGCGGGGTGGGGGAGAGGGAGCGGGCGACAAACCCAGGAGCGCGTCGATGCCCTCCAGGTTGCCGTCGTTGAGAGCTTCCTCGCCGAGCCGCAGCAGCCGAAAGTGAGACGCCAGGCACACGTGGGACACCAGCCTGCGGTAACGCCATCGGCGAACAAGCGGGCACAGCGCGCACGAACCCTTCGTGGTCACGCTCACAGTCACGGGGAACCGTCGCACGAACCGTCGTGCGAACCGTCACACGAACCGTCGCCCGCACGGTCGCGTGCACTAGGACAGGAAATCACTTGTAAGCAGCATTTTCACAGGTGGTACATAGACAAAGATCCCCAGTATAACCTTAACACAGTTGGGGAAAGTGCTGTTAGCGATCACCTTTGAAGGCCGGCACTGTGGCACACGAGGGGGTGGGTGGCCAACACCATGCCCGGCCGCCTTTGTCTTCCCAGTGGCGACGTTTATACACCGCACCAGGTACTCATTTGAGTCGACCTCCGGGGAGGCCCAGGACCGGTTCAGATAAACGTCACTGGTGTGTTGGCCATGAGGGGGAATCTAACTCGTGTCGCCGGGTTCGTAGCTCAGCGCGCTGACCGCTACCCCCACCACTCAGTACCCACGATCGGTACGCGCACACGTCGTGACAACAGGGAGTCGTTTGCAGCCGACGCGTCGTCCCGTGCCTGCTATCCACAGCGACGCTCGGCGCCGTGGATAGCTTCTAACAAGGTGGCCGGAACGCGAGAGAACACGCGCACCTCTTGCTGCTGTCAGGGCCCCCGGGCTGCGCCTTGCGAGCGAGGACATTGTTCGCGAGCAGCGGCAGCAGGTTGATGGCGATGCTGCCCTCGCTGTCCTCCTCCTCCTCCAAGTTGTAGCAGAGGCGCATGGGCAGCACACAGTCGTCTCTGTAGCAGCAGCAACACCAACAGCAGCAGCACCAATAGCAGCAACAGCATCAACAGGAGCAGCACCAACAGCAGCACCAACACCAACAGCAGCACCAACACCAACAGCAGCAGCACCAACACCAACAGCAGCAGCACCAACAGCAGCAGCACCAACACCAACAGCACCAACACCAGCAGCAGCAGCACAAACAGCAGCACCACCAACAGCAGCACCAACAGCAGCACCAACACCAACAGCACCAACACCAAGAGCAGCAGCACCAACAGCAGCAGCACCAACAGCAGCACCAACAGCAGCAGCAGCATCAACAGCAGCACCAACAGCAGCACCAACACCACCAACACCAACAGCAGCAGCACCAACAGCAGCAGCACCAACACCAACAGCCCCAACACCAACAGCAGCACCAACAGCAGCACCAACACCAACAGCACCAAAACCAAGAGCAGCAGCACCAGCAGCAGCATCAACAGCAGCAGCACCAACAACAGCACCAACAACAGCACCAACAACAGCCGCAGTACCAACAACAGCACCAACAGCAGCACCAACAGCAGCAGCACCAACAGCAGCAGCAGCACAACCAGCAGCACCAACAGCACCACCAATAGCAGCACCAACGGCAGCAGCAGCACCAACGGCAGCAGCACCAACAGCAGCACCACCAACAGCAACACCACCAACAGCAGCACCACCAATAGCAGCAGCAGCACCAACAGCAGCACCAACAGCAGCACCAACAGCAGCACCAACAGCAGCACCACCACCAACAGCACCACCAACAGCAGCACCACCAATAGCAGCAGCACCAACAGCAGCACCAACAGCAGCACCAACAGCAGTAGCAGCAGCAGCAGCAGCAGGGTGCAGACGCACGGACAGGGACGGGAAGCTATGGGCTCAACTTAGGCTCGTGCACGTGCAACGATTTGCGACAGTTTTGCTGATCACCTTTTTTCGTCATTAATTTTATGTACGGCTGCCAGCTCCGTCGAACGTTTAATACAAGGCTGAGAGCATTATACCATGCAATGTGGCTTGCCATGTAACACGCATGCAAGGCATGATGGCAGTTGTGCTTTCCTGCCCCGAGTGTGCGCTGTTAAGTCCAGCAACTGGGCAATGAGATTACATTCCCGCCTTCATTTGTACCTTTTTTTTCTTAATATTTTTACTCCATACCTATATTATTGATGCATTATAATTAAGTGACACCAACAATAATCGCAGTGGATATCTCCAAATAAGTATATCGGCCAGGATTAGGGCCGAGTGCATATTGTATTTATACGAGGATGAACAAATAGCTTCATATATTTAAAATCAGAGCAAATGTCACACTGCTCCCACGTACCCTGGCGGCTCTTTCCCCGGCTGTACATCAACCACATAATCGTCCTGAAAGTCAGTCAATATGTTCTCTCCAATCCACGCCTATCACACACGCACACACACACAGGACACGGAACACGCAAATCACATCTACGACCTCGCTGAGAAGACCACGTACATCACAAACACACACGTGTATACTGCAGCGTTTGCAAATTTCTCTGGCGCATGTCGTGACGGGTACTGCAAGATCCGACCACGTCTGTCCAGTGCCCGCCGAGCTGCATCGGCTTAGAATACATTAGCAGGTCACACGCATTACGCACGAAGTTTTTGCCACAAATGAACCACAATACCTTGCTGATCTTGTCAAGGAGAATAAACCATCATGCCAACTCCGGTCATCCTCCAAGCGGCTTTTGGCTAGCCATCGAACAAAGACGGTCACCGTGTCACGCGCTTTCAGATGCGCTTCTGCGGCTGTCTGGAACGCTCTTCCTTCCGATATTAGGAAGCCACTAGAGCTACGCACTTTTAAATCTAGATTGAAAACTAATTTCTCTCGAGAAAAATCCATATAACCACGGGCAGAACATGCAAACCTCAAATACACAGGCATCATCAGGGTCGTGATCAAACCCACGACCTCCTACATACACAGGCAAGAGAGTTAACGTCTCGCCAAAAGCGGCGCGTTGCATGCACCCGCGGATTGGCGGGAGTTAAAACTGCACAACGACATGGGACACTGGATACGGGATGCGTGACAGGGGACAAGGGAGAGCTGACCTGAACTTTAGGGTGCAGAGCCCCCGTGTGGATGAGCGTCGCCAGCTCGTCGCAGTACAGCGCCGTGCTCTCGGCCGAGCCGTCGCAGCAGTCACGCACCAGTTGCACCAGGGTCGTCACCTGCCACACCCCGCCCCCCCGCAGCACAGACACAGCAGTTGAAGGCAACAGCAGTGGCAGCAGCAACAGCAGTAGCAGCAGTGGAAGCAGCAGCAATAGTGGAACCCGCAGCAGTAGTGGAAGCAGCAGCAGTGGTAGCAGCAACAGCAGTAGCAGTTGTAGTAATAGCAGTAGTGGCAGTTGCAGCAGCTTAGTAACAGCAGTATTGGAACCTAGAGTAGCAATTGCAGCAGTAGCATCAGCAGTGACAGTAGCAGCAGCAGTAGTGTAAGAGGCAGCAGCGGTAGCAGCAGTACTGCAAGCATCAGGAGCAATTGTAGCAGCAGCAGCAGTGTGTGTGGTAGCATTGGGCACTGCTCGTGTGTGTGTGTGTGTGTATGTGTGTGCATGTGTGAAGTGTGGTGGCACGGTGGTGAGCACACGGCACAACAAAAACGGCAACCAGAGTTCGATTCCCGGCCACGGCTAACATCCGTGGCAATTGATATCAGAACCTGTCGCAGGGGCTTCCTCAGGTCAACTCAGCGTTAAATGAGCACCTGGTGCAGTGCGTGTAAAAAAAAACATCAGCAGCGGGGAGGCACAAAGGTGGCCGAGCGTGGCGCTGCTCAAAACGCCACTTCGTGCAGTGCCGGTCTCAACAGGTGCTCACTGAGCACATTCCCAAATAGTCCGTTAAAGGCTCTGGGCAAGACCTTTTCTCAACGGTTTTACTTAACTTGATCCCTCTGTTTGTCGTGGACAAATTTTGTAATCAAAATTTCGTCCACTTCCCGTTGTCCAATCAATTCCGCATTTTGCACACGTACTGAGATCCGGTGACAATGCATGCCTCTATCAAAATCGGCATTAATTAATCAATTTTTTCTCTACTTTAAAGCAATTTACATTTTGTATAGACACATTACTTATATATATTTATGTAGGTCAAAAAACGCCGCGATCCCTAAACTGTGGAATCGGTTCGCACAAAACGCAGGCGCCGCGTGTCTCAGGCGTCATTGACGTACTTCTCGACCGTGAGTTAAACGAAGTTGTTAATAAAACCGTTGTTTTTAAAAAAAACGTTTTAAACTAGTTTATTTTTAACGTGTGCAAGTCTTGCCCTGTTTCCACAACAACCTGCTTGAAGACATTAGTGCTGAGCGGAGATGCCTGGGAAGCAGATGCGTCTGTCCTTTCATTTCTCCTAGTACAAGGAAAGGGGAAAACACACACGCGCACACGCACGCGCACACGATCATACTGGCTTTGCACGCCCATTGAACACTCAGCCACAGGAGGTGCCAAACATCAGCTCACACCTGAAAGTGCTGACAAACTCACATTCATCCATAACACATTGCCTTAAAGGGAGAAGTATATAATCGGAATTCTCCGGGAAAAAGATTATGGTTCCGATATAATGGATGACGTTTTGAGCAATGGACCTTCTTCATGGCACGTATATAGAAGCCAGAGAGGTGTAATTGATCGTTATTCGGCGTGTAAGTATTCAGAATCAGAATCTTTAATTAGACTGCAAGAGAAATCTGATGAGCTATTAAACTATTTTTTACAGATGTCCAGTATGGGCAGGGGGTCAGCAAAATCTCTGCACGACAGAGAAAAAAAACCCCATCGTGACAAAAAGATCACAACAGCGTATCATAATAGCAGTGCACGCATTCGTTGATTAGGCCATTAAAATACATTCTTAAGATCATGACACACGGTTCAAAGAAGCACTAATGTACTACTAAAGTTACATGGGGCTGATAGAATGAGCAAGACGAAGTAAATAATGAATAAAAAACACTATTCTCGAAACAAATTGTAATCGCGAAATAATAACAAATATTAATCACATAATGCCGATAATTATAATCATTATGAGAGTGTTTGTCATTATGAATATCAGGTAGAGGAACTCCTCTACTTACGAACGAGTTGGTTAGGTTCCAGAGGTCTGTTCGTAAGTCCAACTTTAATCCTGTCGATTCCAAACATGTTGTACGGCATGTACACTAAACACAAAGAATCGATTTAAAAGTTGTATTATCTCCTGTAGATGTAGATGCCACTGGTTCTTCATGTTCTGCAGATGTAGACGCCACCACCGCCATCTATTGCGTGGCGATTGAACTTACGACTCTCGGTCTGAACAGGCAACTGGACACATGGACAGTTCCTAAGTCGAATGTCCAGGAGTCCCTGTACTCTGGTAACAATCACACCCCCATCAATTTGATCATCTGTTGAAATCTATTTTGAGTCGTGATCGCATTCCGTAGCCAATCATTTAATCTTATTTTTGAATCAAATTTTTTCATTCGGTCTTGCCTGTCGTTTATTTTCACTCCATTATCATCAATGGAACATTCACAAATACTTAGCATAATATTGTATTCCTCCATTATGAGCGTATGAAACAACTTCAATCGATTATTTGACTCTCAGGTTAATTGCTTATCAATTTTACAATAACCATTCAGGGAATCCATTATCACTTCCAGAAGTCACGGAATCAGTAATTGACTTCAGTTCAATCTGAATAAACAATTAATCCCATTGGCACAGGCGAGAATGTTCAAACCGCACGGTGCATTCCAATGTGATTGGTCATCGTGACAAGCCATTACATACAAAATAAACGTGTGTAAAATAACGTGCGGTTCTTTGCTAATCCACTAGAGTCGTTACGATCCTAGTGGTTGCGCGATAGCTCCAGGGTTGCCGTAGCACGGCAACCGGTGGCAGTGGCAGGGGTGGTGGCAGTGGTGTCGACGGTGACGGTGGTTGTGGCGGTGTTGGTCGTAGTAGCAGTGTTAGTGACGGTGGTGGTAGCGGAAGCAGTGGTGGGGAAGGCGAGGGCTGCGTGTTACCCGCGAGTGGCCATGCTCCCCACCAGCGCGATGGCGCCAATGATGCCGATGCGCTTATATTTGAGCACCGTGCTTGACAGCTGCTTGCGCACCACGATGTGCATGTCGCCCTGCAGACAGAGGCGCGATGATGGGGGGGGATGGTGAGCAATGGTGGAGCAATGGTGGGGCAATGGTGGGGCAATGGTGGGGCATGGTGGGCGATGGTGGCCGATGGTGGGGTGATGGTGGAGCAATGGCGGGTGTTGGTGGTCGATGGTCACACTGTTGGTTCCATGCAAAGTTCACCTTAGTTGGCAAGTGCCACACGTTTTAATTTGCAGTGCCACACGAATGCAGGCGCAAACTTACAACCACCCCAAATCACCCGCAATGCACCCGATATTATTAGAAATATATATTTTTACATATTTTCACGTTAAATGTTTCACCTGGATAATCCCTTGAGATGGAAAGCCTCATTTGCAAGGGTGGGGGGGTATGAAGGGAGGAGGGGGGGAATGGTGATGGGGTGGAATGCTGTTAAAGGTACACATTTAAGTTTAAAGTTAATCTTCCTAAACCACGTAACTACATTTCAAGAGACGATAGTCTCATTTGCACGAGTGACTTGGGTTACTGATCAGAACAACCATAACACAAAATCTCAGCCGTGCCGGCTCAGTGCTGATCCATAAGCCACACTTCCGCGAGTGATCACAAATCAGGCTGAAATTAAACAGCCGGGCCATGTGAACGGACTAGAGAACATCACGAAAGGGCACTGACAGTCCATGGGCCACAGCAGAAATTTATTTATGTCACCCGATGGTAGCATGTATTTACTAGTACAGATTTATTTACACAGCTGCTAAGAGCGAATCACGAGATAAACACAAATTATTTAACACGGTTATCGCATCCTTCACTGTTGTTGGTCACACAAAAAAATTGGAACCACTAAAGTTATGCCATTTCAGGTGGCAATATGTTAACTACCTCGCCTGGTATACAGGAGGTCGTGGGTTCGATCCCGGTCCTGACACCTGCATATTTAGAGTTTGCATGTTCTCCTTGTGGTCGCGCGGATTTTTCTCCGGTTTTCCGTTTTTTCTCTCCACATTTAGAAACATGCATTGAGTATTTGGCTGCTATAAATGTTCACATGATAAGCCACTTCATTGGGCTATCATTTGTGGCCAGGTCGTTTCTAAAAAAAGAGCGATTTAACTTAGTGGGACTTACCTGGTAAAATAAAGAGTTTAGTTTCAAGTATAACACCTCATCTGGGCTTATGGACTATAAACCTTCAGTTTGCTGTTCCTCACCTGGATGTAACTTCCCTGTGTGCCCCCACTGAAGGCCAGGGTGCTGAGGATGAAGAAAAGCTTTCGGATCTGCGTGAGAGAGAGATTCTCCAGATAGTCCAAGATACCCTGCACACATCCACAGACAGGCTCGTATCAAACGGAACCACACACAGAAATACTGCCCAAGGCTATTAACTGTGATTGTCACTGTATTTATCACGATGGTAAAGAAACAATATAACATTTCAGGTCATGATAATTCTCGCAATATCAGTTCCCCATAGCTTTATAATCGTATTTCACATTGTTAATGTATTGTTGTTTGTGCTTTGCTGTACTCCTGGTAAAAATAAAGTTTACTTAAAAGCCACAATTTTCTAAAAAATATGGTGTGACAGGATATCAGATGATATCACATGATGCTAAATCATTACATCATGTAAGTGATCAGAAAATCTAAATTGAAAAATTCTGAAATCATTCTTAAAAATCCTAATTTCAAAGTGTTTTAAGCTATAAATCTTCAAAAACATATGTATAAAACACAAAATACATAACGACGGCTGGCCCTTATCAACACAAATGGCCTAACTGAGGGCTGGCCCTTATGTACAGAGACACTGCCTAGGTCAGGGCTGGCCCTTGCCTTAATGAAGACCGCGTAGGAGGCCAGCGAGGCTGTGCGCTGCTGCACCAGCTCATGCAGGACTTGCAGCGCCGTATCCACCTCGGCTGTGTAGCCGTTACACACGAAGGTGACCAGCGACCCCACCACCTCCTGCACGGGGAGACAGAGGAGAGAGAAATGAGCCAGACTTAAGTTACATCTGTTGTAGTTTTAGAAAATGCAAGGGCCCATTGAGCCCTTGCAATATCTTACTCACGCCACTGCTGGTAGTCGGGTCTGCACTAGCTGGAGCTCTAGAGAGCCACACTGGCCAGATGTCTTCAAGTATTTGGGGGTAGTCACACTTTATCCAACCACACAGGACCTGCCAATCAACTGAGATGCACCCAATTATTGCCACCAGGCTCTTTCTGACTTGCATTGGAGGACGCACATAAATTAAAACATTAACTAAACAATTTTTATTTTACCAGGAAAGGCACACTGAGCTACATAGCACTTTTTCAGAAGCGACCGAGCCACACATGATTGATCAACAAAGAGGCTTATTATGTGGAAATATATAGCAGCAGAATACGCTAAACGTACGTTTTGTAATGCGGAGGGAAAAACTGGAGGACCTGGAGAAAAATCCACGCGACCATGGGGAGAACATGCAAACTGCAAACATATAAGTGTCAGGGTCGGGATCGAACACACGACCTCCTGTATACCGAGCGAGGTAGTTAACATCTCGCCACCGTGGCATCTGCCATGGGTGCCATGGGTTATTCGGTTGAAGTTGAGCGTGCGCGATTGTTTTCAAGGCAGATCCAATCTACGGGTTTCAGTGGTCGGGTCGGCAATGAGACGTTTACAGGGGACGTCGCTGCTTGTCCACAGCCGTCAAGTGAAACGACCGCGGACTGACACGGGGGATTGGTGCGCACCCCTTCAGCATACACAGTCGCCACAGTCGCCACAGCCAGCCGCGACAGGGAACTACATCTCACCACTGACACCCGAACGCAGTGGTTCTCAGACTGCTCTATTATTCGCGAACCCTCGGGGTGTACTCCTATCCTCGAGACCCACTCGCATATTTCATCTCTTCTGGGCCTTTATTAGGCCACCTCAGCCTTAAGTAAGTCATCGGTGGGGAAGGGTCGACATCGGCGATCAGGAACTGAAAATGGCCTCCTCACACTGTTGGTAGACAGATGTCGCGGTTTCGAAGCGTTGCGAGAAATTGCAGCGTGGAAGGTGATACCAGCGGGGGTAGTGGCGGTGGTGTGGGAGTATATATGTACATTGCACTTCATTTGCACCATAATAATGATCATTTATATTAGTTTATACATCGTTACAGCTCTGTTAGGCATGCAACAATTAAAGTCCTCTGCGATGTATGTATGTTGAACTTTCAAACCATATGTAGCCAACCGTACTAATCGGAGGTGCGGGGGAAGGACAACAAATTAAACAAAGAAAATTTAGATTTTAAAATATATTTAAAAGTGCACAGCTCCAGTGGCTTCCTAATATCGGAAGAAAAACCGTTCCAGATGGCTGCAGCGACCGTCTTTATTCGATGGCTAGCCAAAAGCCGCTGCGAGGATGGACGGAGTTCACATAATGGTTTGTTACGTAACGAGATCAGCAAGGTACTGTTGTTCATTTGTGGCAAGCACTTTATGTGTAATGAATGAGTGGGTGGGTGGGTGGAGTGCAGACTGACCTGCTGGTAGTACGGGTCAAAGCAGAAGAAGACGTGGCAGTACACGCGGCCGGCGAACGACGCCACCACCGGATCTGGCGACCGCAGCAGCGTCTGCGCCAGTGCCAAAATGGACGGGAAATACTCGCACGTCACCTGCACACGGCGCACAGTGTGTGTGTGTGCGCGCGCACAATGAGGACATCGCAAAGTCCGTCTGGGGTCAAAAAATATATATAAATAAATTATTTCACCAAAGGCCCGAACCGTGTCGTACTGGCCATGCTTTGTCAGTACAACAGGGCTCAAATTGCGCCAGGTTGGTTTTTCCACTTCAGAGCCTGAGCAGTGCCGCTGACAACACACGCAATGATCATCAACTAACACAAAGTATTATCGGAAATTATTAACCCTGCACCTGTCGCTGCTTGACCCCAGAGCCAGATTCCGATGCCTCACGATGGCAGTTTCAAGGTTTGGTTCGGGCTTAGCTCGGCAAATAGCCAGCGGTCAGACTTTAGGTGAGACAGACAGCAAGTAGCCAGGTAGGTAGAGACACAAACATCCAGACTGGCAGATACGTAGTCAAGAACATACACAATCGAAAAGAACACACCACTGTATTTCCTATGTTGATATATTGCATGAGCGGATATACAACTAAGTCAAATTTATCTGCTGGCTGGATAGAGCAATGGGGTATTGCTCACCTGCACCTCCGATTAGCACAGGTCGGCTACGCACGTTGCGAAAGAAATTCAACATACATACGTACGCACGGACAAACATACGTCCGCTCCAGCGTGTCGTTCCTTCAGTGACCGTGGCTGCGCGAGTGCGAGCTCACCGGGGTGTGCCCGCTGAAGACGGCTTGCAGCAGCTTGTCGCCGAGGCGACCCGCGCGCACCTTGGCCTGCACGAGGCTCTCCACGGCCTTGTGGTGGTTGATGTGAAGGATGAGCAGCACGAGGAAGTCGATAACCTAAGGGACGCAATGGCAACGCAAGCATAAAGACGGTGATCTCTCAGTGTGGCCTCACAGACATCGTCATCCTTATTGTCGTCGTCAGCCATTGACTATCCACTGCTGTGTGAGGGCCTCCCCAAGCCGTTGCCATTCGTCACGGTCATGCCAAGCCACAATCCATCACACTCCTGTACATAAATTATTTTAAACGACCTGGCCACAAATTATCACCCAATGAAGTGGCTTATCATGTGGAATGGATAGCAGCCAAACAATGCATGTTTCTAAATATGGAAGAAAAAACCGAAAGACCCACAGAAAAATCCACGCGATCGTGGAGAGAACATAAAACTCCAAATATATAGGCGCCAGGGTCAGGATCGAACCCACAATCTCCTGTATACCAGGCGAGATAGTTAACATCTCGCCACCGTGGCGCACCTATAAATTCATCTCATGGATCCATCTCCGTGACGATCATTCTCTCAAATGCGTTCCCTCCTCTGGCTGCAAGCCTGTCACGAATCTTCGTGGCATGGGGCCAACGCTCGACCGGACGAACCCATGCACAACAAACACCGCAAGCTCAAACCGCTTCAAGCGAGACCTGCAAATTAATTTTAAAGTACGCAGTGTGATGAAACGGCGATGCTTTCAAGCGATGCTTTTAGCGTGGATCTGTGCTGCTGCTGCTTCTTCAATGACAATTTACCTTACAACTCGTACGCATTTACAGATGTGATTTCATGCTTGAGACCAAATTAAAACTACAATCAGCATCTGCAATAAAGTGTGTTTGTGACCTACTGGCAGTGATACAGTCTGTGCAGTTAATGGTCATCTAGCAAAAAACGAGCTACAATCAGCAGCTGCAATAAAGTGTGTTTGTGAACTATTGGGAGTGATACAGTCTGTGCAGTGAATGTTCATGTAGCATATCACGAGCATCTTACCTTGTGTTCCGACTCGGAGCGCACACTTTCAATCGCCTTAAAAAGGTAAATCAAATGAAATTAACATGGCATAACAGCAATGACCATTTAAGTATGCTTTGCATGTTTTAAACATCTACAGATATTATTATATATTTTTTACCAAGGCCCACTGAGCTATATAGCTGTTTCGGAAGCGAACTGGCCACGAATAATAGCTCAACTAAGTGGCCTATCATCTGTAAATGTATAGCAGTCAAATACTCTAAATGCATGTTGATTTTCGATTTAAAGCTTTCGTGACTGCAATGATTCATCTTCTTTGGTTCTTTCAGGGTGCCTCTGCGGATGTGTATGCTTTAACTTTTAACATAGCTATTTCTGTGACCAGTCACAAGCTAATCACTCAGCCATTTCAATGCTAAATTATATGCTAATTCCTTTGTCAAGACGCTTTGTTTCCTCTCACACAGCTTAAAAGTCGTGATCTGAACGTGGCTCTTTCACTCCAGCGCTGTCCTACCAGACAGTCTCGTCCCTTCACTTGATGAAGGCCGCTTGTGTTGTGGCCGAAACGTCGTGAGAATATTATTGTGTTATTTTATTTTATCAATTTATTATTTTATTCTCATTCTACGTGACTTTACCGAAAGAACCAAAGAAGATGCATGTTGATTGTAAATGTGGAGCGTAAAACCAAAGGACCTGCAGAAAAATCCACGTGAACACGCGAGAGACGCGCAAACTCCAAATACACAGGCGTCAGGCACGGGATCAAACCCCCAACCTCCTGTATACCAGGCGAGGTAGTTAACATGTCGCCACCATGGTGTAATCATCAAAAGACTGGCCTTGCAATGTAGAGGTTGCCGGTTCGATTTAATCTCCCGGCGCAGCAGTTTAAACGATGGTGCACGTTTCTTAAGTCCCCACTGCCACCTCTGTCCACCCAGTAGGCTAAACTGGTTCACCGGTGTTAGTCGATCGGCAGATCGCGTGTGTTGGGGTAGAGTGTGGGCACTCCCAACTCTTCCAAGAGGTCTGGCCAGAGTTGAAGAGTAGGCCAAGTACCCTCTCGAAGAGGGGCTACTCTAGAGCTCTCTAAAGAGGCATGAGCAGTTCACTCTATTTTACCAATGCAGCTCAAAGAGATGCACAAAGCAACTCAAAGAGAAGGAGTCAGACACCTTAATCCAAGCCTCCGCTGTAGTCTTTTGGAAGCGCACGGCCGATGCGATGGCGTCGAGCACCAGTGCTTTGCAGTCTCGTTTGTCAGGAGCCACTTGCGAAGGCCTGCAAGGGGCACGCGTCGGCGCCGACACAGCATGCAGGCGCAGCAACCCCAATGCCACACACAAGGGAAAACACCGAGAGGCGAGGGGGAAAAATCACGCGTCATTTAGAATTCATCCGGATGTATTTAACCCTTTCCCGTTTAGCACGCGTACGCGTCATCAAAACGAAACCGGAAGAAAAACTGAAATGAAATACTTTATCGGTACCGAGGCTTCCACAACACCATGCGGGAAGGCGTGTGCCACAGTTTGGCACCAGCTATCGTAGAGTGCGGTCGTGTCGCTACAATTCTCTGCGGTGAGTAACAATGTCTTTAAATACAAGGGTGCTACGCCTCTCTAAATCAAATTTACGCCGAGCCGCATGCGCGTTCAGAGATTCAGCGGTGAACGGTACACCCAGCCTGCAACTTGTAGACGTCTCGGAACGAAAAAGGGTTAATTATTGATGACGATGATGTTACAGTTTACGCCGCGGAGCCGCGCGTGATCGTGAATTCTCCTCCGGCAAGCCCCGAGCGCGTTCCTCAGCGCCGGATGATTTAGCAGCGGGCACATTCGTTGGCCCGCGTCGAGCTCTCTTACGTGCCAGTTGCCGCCCTGCGCCCGCCTTGTGTGACGCTGAGGCTGGCAGGAGGGAGGCACAGCTGGAAGTCCAACTTGGTTCTCAGCTCGGCAATCACCTGAGAGCCACGGACACAGCCAGACACACGCAGCGCGCGCCGTGCTACGCTTCTCGACAACACTGTTGGAAGGCGCGGCAAGAAGACTGCACAGGAAATAAGGGGGTGCTCGTGAGTGGGGTTAAACATGGCCGTATTGCTCAAGTGGTCGAATACTCTGTCAAATACACTGAGCCGGCACAGCTGAGACCCTGGGTTCGAATCCACGTATTAGCTGCACGTGATTTAACTGGGCTCTCAATAAATATTATTAAATGTAGCAAGGTGATGGTCTTGGCCCAGTGACCAACGATTGCAACATTTGGTTGAGGCTCGTGATAAACTCTTTGCTTAATAGGGCATATAAGAAGGTACACCATTTGCTATCGATACGAGGCCTATTTTAGCGACTTCTGAACTAGTCGTGTGAAGTTATCTTCCGGGCACCTCGATAACTGATGAGGACGACGGTTATGACGAGAATGACATTGATGACGATCATTAATGATGATCCAATTAGCGCGGTTGGCTACGTACGGTGCTGAAGAAGTTCAACATCCATATACTAACATGACCACAAAGAACACAAATGGTACCTCGTAGGCATCCGTGGCAGTGATGGAGTGCAAGATGAACTTGACAACCACAGGAAGGTCATCGAGCTCCACCGACGCAAGGGCCAGCATCACCGAGCCACGCACCTGAAACGGGAATCGAACTCATCAACGAATATCGATTCTCAAGCTCGCGACGTGTGGCCTGGCATGCACCACTGCCGATGCCGTATACTCAAAAAGGTTGCTCAATTCGAAGGTGTGTATGAAGTAAACGCGGACCCAAAATAAAATGTATAGCTTGACACGAGGAAGAAGCGATTCCTTACCTCCGCCAGGAGGTCAGAGGACAGGTTGATGTTGGAGAGGACATCAAGAACAACCACCGTCAGTTGCGTGTTCTGCTGCATCAGGGCACTGCGGGAAGTGAAACAAGGAGAAGGTTTGAATCTATATTTGCACCGCCTACTCCGCTCTTTCATTCTTTCTTTCTTTCTTTCGTTCGCATGGCATTTAAGAGGCAACAGTTCGAGTTTATAACGATATGACGAGTATGGAAAGCCATTTGATTAGTGCCCCCTGCTGGCTCGGTTTGGATGTGTAAGTGGAAAATATTGTGTAAATATTTACGCGATCTAACCCAAAAACACCTGTATTATGGATATTGGTCGCGAAAGCCTACATGTTAAACGGAAAATATTGTTGTTACATTGTGGAAGATATTTGTTTAAAAAAAATAACATTCAATTATTCTTGATGTAAACCCAGGTCACACTTGTCACAGAAATAATGTTATTTTAATGCATTTCAATGGGCAACTTCATCTCCTGATTAAACTAAGATTTTAGGAAAACAAAGGGAATGCGTATTATATAATCAGGGCGAGCAGAGACAGGCACACGCTCACCTGAGCTCCTTAGCCACCCGAGTGTGTTGGTCGTCCTCAATGATCTCCGGCAGGCAGGTGATGATGTCACGCTGCACGTCGAGAGGGGCGACGGTGAGCAGCTCCAGAATGCGATCGGTGAGGCTCTGGGATCAGGCGCCATTCAAACACAAGTTCCACCACATTGCCAAGGGTTCACGCGACAGTGAAATGTTAACTTCCTTGCCTGGTATACAGGTTGTGGGTTCAAACGCAACCCGGACGCCTTCTATATTTGGAGTAGCATCTTTTCCCAAAGGTCGCGTGGATTTTTATCCAGGTCCTCTGGTTATTTGTCTGCTCCTATAAATTTCCACATGATAAGCCACATCATTGGTTATCATTTGTGGCCAGGTCGCTTCTGAAAAAGAGCTATATAGTTCAGTGGGCCTTAGTTTTTTTAGCTTAACTAAATGTGATCATATCTCAAGATGTCATAAAAATAGAGGCAACATGCCAAGGCATTTTCTTTTTTGTTTGTAACAGGGAATGATGGTTATAATTGTACAGGCCAGAGAGGGAAATAAGATTGCATTATGGTAAAGGGTAGCAGTGGCACCATGGGTATTGCACTATGCGAGGAACCCAGACCTGAGTTTAATTCATGGTCATGGCTAACAAAAGAAGAGTGGCAAGTGATAGCAGACCTGGTCGTGCTGTCCCACGACCTCCTTCACCAACCCACGCTGATCAATATGGGGGAAGTATGGCCCAAACAACTTCCACAAAGTGGTGTGCAGAGGCCTTCATCCATCAGTGGATTGACAGAGGGCTGAACAATTATAGAAGTGCTGTGAATGCAGTGGGGAATACTCGCAGCATGGGTCATGTGAAGCCATTGCATACAACTGTTTTAACACTTCTGACACCAAGATGGTGAAGACAGAGACGACACTGAAGACTTCAGCAGCACGACCGGGATCCCACTATAAACGACAGCCCCGAAGTCCCCTCTCGGGGCCCCTCTTACTGTCAGCGTAGCCTGGCTCCGCCCCCGGTCACGCCCACTTTCTAGAACCTACCCGCGGGTTCCTGGTGTGTCCCTTCCGTGACCTCTCCCCTAGATCCCTCTCTGGTGTGTCACCTGGCCTGATGCTGTCAGGGCTGCTGTAAGCTGCAGATCCCCTTCCCCGCCAGCGGCCAGCGCTATGCTGCTACATCGCTAATTCTATGTCACTACACAACATATACAAATAAAAAAACCCATCTAGTCTTACTCAAATTAGAGGGTGTATCATAAGCATAATATTCGAAATTAATCGATGAATCTATAAACCACTTACAAGTCATCGTATCCAGCTCAGTCAAAATACATTGCACATTAACTATGTAAGCCATGGCAAAACAGAATTGAAATGTATTAGCATTATCCTACCGTGTAGGTTTTCGCGGTTGTGCTGTACAGCTCTCCGATATGTTTTCGGGTCGTACCACACGTTGTTTGGCACAACTTGCGACATTCGCTCCACGTGATGGAATGAAAGTAAAGCTCCCGACAAGTGGTACAATCCGAAAACCCATTGGAAAGTCAGTGTGTACAGCTCATGTGATTTTTATGGCCGCACACAACAAAACGGTTTGAAAACCCGAGCCAACTCATTTGGCTGCTCCGAGAATGTGTGGTTCGTTTTATATGGGCCATCTGCTCAAATTGTTTCAAAAGAGAGCTAACAACCCGAAGGTTTTAGTGACCGTTCTCAATAGTATCTTGGCCCGGATGTTTCTGCTTCATTTACCGTTGAGTCATAAATGCGATCCAGCCACTTAAAATGACTGATGGTCAAACGAGGGATGTTCACGCCATCCTCCGAATTCCTTCGTGAATACAACAACAAAACAGAGTCAGCAATGGCAACGCGCAACACAGTATTGCCCAATAACTTGAGTATGTTTATGGCTTCGTTGCAAGGAAAAATGCATAATGCGATAACAGTATGTGGGTAATTAGCCTTTGAGCCGAAACAGGTGACTAGAGTACGTCGCATGTCCGACCTTCACATATCCACCTTGACCGGTTAACCATTCGTAACCAGTGCAGTATGCCTGCACGGTGTAGCAAAGCTGTCATCGACTATATATCGATGTTCACATATCCGACTATTTTACATAGCCACCTAAACCCGAGTCCCTAGTGAGTTGGATATGAAATGTTGTACTGTCATCATCATCATCACAATCCATGGGCAGACGGCCTATAGGTGTCCACTGCACATTTAATAATTTGTTTCCACTTTCCTCTGTCTTGTGCTAATGTGTTCAAGAAGTGCACATCTTTCTGGCACCAGTCTCATATGTCATCGCTGTACTCTACTGTAATATAAAGTCAAGGTTAGTTTCTTGATGAACTTGTCACGACATTCTAATTCCAGGCCGATCGGGGCCAAAAGCGGCCATAATGTCCAATAAGGGATATAGCATTAAAAAATTTGCATCAACAGTGAGCGAAGCGTGCAATGTACCCGTCTTCCATGAACTCGGGGAGCTTTTCCAAGAGCGCATTCATTAAAGGAGTCTAGAGCGAGTGAGAGAGAAAGAGCGAGCAAACACAACCATGCTTGCTATTCGTGTCATACATTAAACACAACAGCCAGAGGAAGTAATAATAACAATATTGCATGCCGGTGATAAAGGGAATAGATTTTATATTTTGATTTAAAGCTTTCGTGACTGCAGTAATTCATATTCTTAGCTCTTTCGGTAAAGTAACGTTGAAGGGAAACAATAAAATATATTTTATTATTTTATTGTTTATTGTTATATTATACATTTACAGTGCAGTATGAACGAGATGGGAGTACCTGCAGAATATTTACTCCAAGGAGAAGCTTGATCAAACTTTCACGTGAAGCCTTTGTACTGGAACATTAATAAAAGATAAACAATAAATATTTCACAGAGTTCCTTGATGCTTCCTTATTCATTATTGCAAAAGCACACACTGAAGAATAACCTACACTGGGCGCACAATTCCCGTATTTTCCCGCATATAGCCCGCATACGCATATAACCCGGAGACGCATACACCCCGCAAAAATAGCGTTTTGTGTAAAAAAATTCAGATAGCCCGCACCTCCATATACCCCACATGCATTCATATCTTTAATGTCGTTACCGCAGCTTAATTCCATCATATGAATACAAAGTTTACATTTGTAATACATTCCACATCAATTGTTAACATTAAAATCATAACGTGCACAAAGAAAACAAACTAACCTGGAAACGAGTGAATTTAAAACAGTAAATAAGTAACAAAGGTAAATATCCAATAAATAAGTAACACATAACTAGTACATAAGTACCATAAGTAAGCGTACTGTTAGGCTTACCAGCATTCAACCTCATCATATTACAGCAACTGGACCGGTAGTTACCCCTGAACAGTTTTAGCACTAGTAGATTGTGCACTTCGCAGACAATAGTGGCACTACGGTAACGCCATTGCCTCCTGGCAACAAAGCCATTGGAAGTTTGAAACAAAGCTCATGGTCGTGACTGTATAGTGCTCAGCCAATAGCAGCGGCCTAAGGGACTCAGCAATTATGCTTCCGCGTCTGGTAGATGTTTGTAAGGCCCTTCCCATTGTGCAATCCATAGCCTCAGCTGAAACTTTCACACCCCCCTACAGCCACTCAAAGTATTACGGTTAAACAAAGTGCGCCCACTTCAAACATTGTCGTTTCATTGTACAAACAATTCGAATAATTTAAAACGTGATAACATGTGCAATTTGAGTGTGAGTGGATTATTCAGCAGTGCTTTAGTCAAAAGAAAGTGTTGCATAGTGGATAGTCCTACCATGAAAACATTAAACGAGTTATGACATGTCACACGTGTAAAATATTTTTTGGATAGCCCACACCTCCATATACCCCGCAGGGTCTTGTTTTGTTTGAAAAAAGTGGTATACCCCGCGGGTTATATGCGGGAAAATACGGTATAAAAGACACCAGAGAGTATGTTGAACTTATTTCACGCCGTACGTAGCCAGCCGCGCTAATGTGATCATCATTAATGATCATCATCAATGTCGTCATAATTTACATCGTCCTCATCAGTTATCGAGGTGCCCAGAAAATGACTTCACACGACTACTTCTCGCTAAAATAAGCCTCGTATTGATACCAGGTGGTGCCCCTTTTTATATGCCCTGTTAAGAGAATTTCTCACATGAGACTCAACCATATGTTACATGATGGCTCATGCAACATGAGGGCTCATGCGATGTTACATGATGGCTCGTGCAATCATTGATGACTGGGCCAAGACCATCACCTCCCTACACACATACATATATCTATAGCGGTAATATACCTCAGTGAACCGACATCAAAAATATGCAATAAATAGGCCAACCACAGCGGGTTGGAAGGTTTTGGGGAAAAAAAATTACTTAATAATGAAAAGTTAAATATTAATGTGCATAAAGAAGCACTTCATTCAAAGTGAACAGGAGCCTGAATATGCAGTGATCTGTAACCTCGTATTAGCCGATGATGGAATCACATGGAATATTCCGAGAGCAGTAGCTCAAGGCTGCCGGTTCTGGGAATGGACTCTTCTCGTCGTTGCTGTCGTCTCGTCGCCACCGTCGCTAAACGTCTCCGCAAGATATTGCGCTACAAAGGATAGTAGTTGGCTATCTCAGTCAGCGCCGTCAGTGTTAGGCAGCAAGTGTAATGCACAGGCTAGGCTGAGCTACTGTGGAGAGTGTACGGACGAGACCGTGAAAGTTGTTAATAAAAGAAAGTGCCTCCTAGAATCGTTGACAATACACTTCTATGCCCCCCATGTTTATGCTCTTCCACGTTCACCAACCCGCACTGACGAGTGCAAAATATGGCGTGAGAAAAAAATCCCATGACTGGCACGGTGCGTGTGTGGGGAGGCCCTCATCCAGCAGTGGACTGACAAAAGGGCCTCCACATTGCACAAGCACCCTCATGTACTGGCATCTTGTGTTAGGACGGCCGGCAAGCGCCATTATTATTAGAACGAAATTTGGCAGCTTGCGCAGAAGCCTACCTGGCATCAGAATCCTGGCAGGACCGGCACGGTAGCAGGCAAGTCTTGAACGCCTCACGGCCCTCCACATACTCCTGCAGGCTGCTTATGAAGTCATCCACCACCTGTTCACAAAATTAGTGACGAAAATGTAATTAAAACAACGCGTGCTTTGTTTTAGCCAACGACAGTAACAAGTCGACGAATATCGTGAAGCGCGACGATGACTACGACTGATTAAAAATAAGAATAGGTTTTACCCTTTCTGGCAATAAAGGACGTCCATAAATACAGGTTTTTGTTTTGGGTTAGATCGCGTAAATATACGTGATGGCGTCAAGCTAACCCAGTGTGATGGAACACGTTGTGGGTTTACGCTCCAAAACACCGGTGTGCTGTACTAGTAATGAATTGGCATATTCTTCTTTACGTGACAAACCTTACTAATTGGCTGTCGGGTGGTGGCGGATTTAACGACACATTAATATATTTACGTGATCTAACCCCCCCCCCAAAAAAAACCTGTAATATGGATGATATTGGTCGCAAAAGCCTACGTGTTAAATAAAGCACTTGTTTGGATCTTCAAACACCAAATAGAAACATATTGCAAGGCCATTAAGTCTGCATTAACTACACATACTTGCGGCATACTTTTATTGCCATAAAAGGGTAAAACCCATTCTTATTTTTTTTATCATTTTTGATACTGGCAAAAAGGTCCCATAGATATGACTATCACTGCTGCCCCCCGTTCCCCGAAGACCCCAGCGTGATTAACGATGACGAGATGGTAGTAACGAGTATGAGCGAAGCCAACGCACTAACATCGTTCGGTGATGTTACTAGAGACTGCAGCGCACCGATAGAGATCCAAAGTTAAGGTCGGACTATTTGGGTATATTAAACTGATTTACTCATTGACCGACACTCATAATACGTCCTGTAAGGAAAGTTGCCCGAAACATCGGCCTTTCTATATACGTTTTTTTATGCAGCCCCCCACCACCCCGCCCCCCTTTTCCTAATGACGACCGCTTGTGTTGTCATCGAAACGCCGTAGTTTTTTGTTATTTTCTTTGAACCTATCTAAGTGACTTCACCGAAAGATCCAAAGAATATAGAAATAGTATTACTTTTGAATGTGTTGGGGTTTTTTTTTATATTGGGGGTGGGGGAATTTGTGCATCTGTTTAACATTGAATAACTAAAAGTGAACTAAAGGTTTGACTGTTTTTAGTCATCTAGACTAACACTTAGCGAAAATCTACATGTTGTCTTCGATAAAACTAAGACTAAAGTTTTAAAATATCTGATTAAATTAACACCGGTGTCAACAAATTACCAACGTGTCAGCTGGCTGGTGCACCTCATTATGATAATAAACAGCATGCAATGGGAAAAATGTGTTACCTTGGGATAGCTGGCATGCTTCCGCAGACCCTGAGTCACATTCTTTTGGAAAATAGCATCATCAACCGCTGTGGAAGAATACACACACAATGGCAGAAACATTAGCGCAGTTAAAAAATGAAAATGTAATATGTATGACGTAATAAAATAGCTCGACATTTCATTTAGCAAGCTCATGCATCATGAGCTTGCCAAATGCTGCTACGATTTGTTTGGCGTTTTGTCCACAGTGGCACGCGCCTCTAAACTTCTGCTGTACGTAGTCCTTGCCATAGGCCGTCGTCTATTGAGTGTAACGGCGACTGAGCGGTGGGCAGTGCAACGACCACGGCAGAAACACCACGGTCTAGTGGATCCTGTAATGGACATGACTGGAAGATTGTGAATGTATTATATGAACAGAATTTGACATATTTTTGGCACTCATTTCACTGAAATCAAATTAAACTAATTTTACAAGCATTTGATCTTGCTTTTCTCAATTCGTCCGAGAGGTTTACTACGTCCCTTAAATATCACAAAGGCCTTCCTGCTAATCTAACAATGTAAGTCAATAGACATTCTCACTGACACAGTGAAGTGATCCTGCTTTATAGAGTTCAGGATAAAGTGTAATCCTTGATACCAGTCTGTACGCTCAATAGTCAATGAATTAACCAACTGATTAGAGGTATAATTATGCATTTTTTTCATCAATTCACATCATTTAGCTCTGATGCATGCAGAGAATCGCGTGTTTCTTTTGTTGAACCAGGTGAGAACTCAGGAGATCAGGATGAGTATTTGAATGACTCACACAGTTGATTGTGAGCATCATCTAGCTTCAGTGTGATCCCAGCTTTGCTGATGATCTCCACAAACAGCGAGTTTCTGTTCGCATCACCCGCACCTCCACCTGCTGAGGACTTCGCTGCCCCATTCGTGAACGGCTTGTCCTTTTTCATTTCTGCAAGAGTGAGGGACACGTCTTCAATGCCGACTCCACATGGTGATTATAATAACGTCATGCACACAAGGAGTCTTCATCCGATGAACCGTGGGCCAAACGTGGCCCTCAGTGGCACAGTGGCTCCATTATCAGCTCAGGGGCTGCGGCAATCGGTCAGGTGGAGCCCCAATATTTGATTCGTCTCACATGGTCATATCTAGGTTAATTCTATATCGTGGCCCCTCATGCCTTAGCACATCATTACACTCATGGTCTAGAACATTAAACGCCGTAGGGGAACTTCATCTTCGCAAAATTCAGCCACTAGGAAATTAAAGCATTTTCATAAAAACAAATCATTTGAACCTGTTTTAAATAAGTTATTGCACTTTTACACTTTTGTTAAAACACATCTCATGGTGGTTTTCAAGGAGGGGCACCAGCTCGTAGCTTTGGCCACCAGGGGGGGCAAGGCACCCCTTGCCCATACACTCGTTACGCTACCGGGTGGCCCGCGAATGCCTTTGCAGTGGCCCGTCTAGGAATAGCTCACCAAGACATAACGAGGTACACAAAATAAATACTGGTTAGTAAGACGAACAAGATGAACGAGAGATGAGAGAGAGAGATGTAGACAAGATAATAAAATGATGAAAACTAAACACAGAGAAGTGAAAGACCTAAAACCAACATGTCATGATGATATCACGGTGGCTCGCTAGCACAAATAAAAAAAAATCCGCTAAAAATTGTTAAAGAACCGATAAACGCTTAATTTTGATCACTCGCAAATGTATTTTTATTTTATTATGTATACCTGTCAACCCCTTATCAGTGCCTAACTTATTACAGACCATTTCAGACCTTATTGGTAACCCTGTGCCCTTATACATCTCAACGTTCATCCTACAAAGTCCCATCACCACAAGGGAGAAACACAAACAAAAATAGACATTTTTGGTTGTTGCCCGTATTGAAACGGCTGTACGCCGTATGGACCTGAAAACTCAATTTCCCTGTACAATCATAAGGGGTAAACCGTATGGGTTGACGGGTTACGCGTATGCCAACCGCACAACAACACTGGCCGCACTGAGTTTGAGAGCTGTCGTTGCTGTTCGCCAGTGGCGCTATCCTGTGGCCTGAAATTAAAAATATAGCTATAGATTACCGACGTATGAACTTATTATGTATTTTGATTATAGTGTGCTGCTACTGCTCTTGTTAATCCGGCTGTTATGGATTGACTTATGCAGCTAGCGAAGGATGCTAGGTTTAGTTATTTGTTTTGTGTGTGTCGCTATTGTAAACTTTTAATCACATTTGTTGGGAAAACTGTTACGTTGTTTATATAGCATTGTTTTAGTAAGTTTTAGAGGGGCTTGGTTTGGCCCGAATTTTTTTATTTAGTATAGATTTATACTTAAAATTTCGATCTGTATTGTATGATTGTTATTGGGATCAAACACCGAAATGGAATTTTTTTGCACTTTTTGTACGCAGCATGGACGGGTTGTGCTTTTTCTGTAGGATTTTATTGTTTACGTATGTGACGTTTAGATTTGTGTACAATGAATTTCAGGTGTATCTTGTAATTGTATTGTTTGTTGCGGTTGAACCCAAATCAAGAACCGAATGGCTCACAGGGTAAATCCTAATAAATGAAACTGAAAACTGAATGTCGCACTAAATTTCGATTTAAAGCTTTCGTGACTGCAAGGATTCATCTTCTTTGGTTCTTTCGGTAAAGTCACGGCCTTGTGTTGTGGCCGAAACGTCGTGAGAATATTATTGTGTTATTTTATTTGATCAATTTATTATTTTATTCTCATTCTACGTGACTTTACCGAGAGAACCAAAGAAGATGAATGTCGCACCTCACGTGCGCGCACCGATGACAAATTCACACTCGTCTTACTTTTAGATGTACTGGCTGCGTCGTTAGAGTCGGACGGCGGCCGCTGTCTGCCCATCTCTGTCAACAAAGAGCGTCACAAAGTAAAACGCGCGTCCGTGTGTGTGTTGGGGCAAGGAGCTTACAGCGAGCAAAGCTGATCTTACTGAACTCTGATCTAGATTTGAAGTTTTCGTGACTGCAGGGATCCCACATACTCTTTGGTTCTTTCGGTAAAGTAACGTAGGTATAAAACAAAATAAATTAAAAATAAATAAAATAACTTTTTATTTTGTTTCATACCTACGTGACTTTACCGAAAGAACCAAAATAAATAAAATAAATAACTATTTATTTTGTTTTATACCTACGTGACTTTACCGAAAGAACCAAAATAAATACAAAAATAAATAGCTATTGATTGTTTTATACCTACGTGACTTTACCGAAAGAACCAAAATAAATTAAAAATAAATAACTATTGATTTTGTTTTATACCTACGTGACTTTACCGAAAGAACCAAAATAAATAAAATAACTATTGATTTTGTTTCATACCTACGTGACTTTACCGAAAGAAGCAAAGACTACTGAACTCTGTAGGGTGAAAGGGAGAGGGTGCAGAGCAGCCCTCCAAGTTGTTGCTCATGCAACTGCTGGCGGAAGGGCTTTCACTAGAGGACTATTTAATCCTCTTCTATTTGCTGGAGAAGGTTGTTGTTGTTGTTCTTTGGTCAGTGAGGTTGAGGGACATCAACGTGGGAGCACAGAAGTACAGTACAATACTCTTCAATAACGGATTTTGCTGCGCTGTACCCGCCCAGCCTATATCAGAATCAGCTTAGAGAGAGTATTGGCACGCGATAAGCCACTTTGTTTAACTCTCGTTTGTGGCCAGGCCGTTTCAGCAAAAGAGCTATGTAGCTAAAGTGTGCTTTACCTGGTAAAATAAAAGTACATATCGTTTAGTTTTAGTATCGTAGCGCGCTAACCACAGCGCCACCGCTCCCCACTAATAGACGAGGACACGCATGAATACAGTAAACTGTGCTGGCTGTTCAAAGAACGAAGCTTGTTGCAGGACACGTCGCTAGGAGGGAGATGTTTGAGGTGGTGAAGACATAACGACGGAGCCGCAGCCAAAGGAGAGGGGGGGGAGAATGCGTCCGAGAGACGTAAAAATCCGTGGAGACGGGAGCGATGAAATCATCCTGTGTGCAGGAAATTTCGTTTTGCATCGAACAACCGCGAGAGCCTGTGACAGCTTGGAGGGAAGAAGACGGGGGTTGGACAGGAGGGGGACAGCCTTCATCCAGCAGTGGATACCTCACGGCTACAATCATTAAAAAAATGTGTCATAACATATTCCGCACAGGTACGCACTCGCGTACCTTAAAAACTCGCTCGCGCCGTCGTGAGGGCATACGCCAAGCGAGACGCAAACGACTATCTCTGCGACGTTTGCGGAGACGTTTGTATGAAGCGGCTGGGTACCGTTGCGAGACGGTACACGACCGCTGCGGTGAGGAGGAGGCGAGGAGGCGAGAAGAAGACGAGGAGCCGAGCCGCTCAGCGTTTCCCGCCACCCGCGTTCAACCACACATCCACGTCCGGTGCGGGATCAGCTGACTACGGCAAGCGTGCGCGGCCAACTCCCCCCCACACCACCGCCGCCACTCCTCCCACACTTCCAATCGTAAACGCGTTTTTTTTAATTTACGTTTTAACAAAAAAATAGACGTTTCGGGTAATGGCCCTTCTTTGCAGCACATAACCCAAACCCTGTGACGAATGTGTTGAGTTTCGTTGCTGTTTCGTGCACCAGTCAGCGCAATATCGCCCACTTACACACCTCTTCCATATGCAGTATTATTGCGTGTGGAAGAGGCGTGCCAGTGGTGTTTACATGTGGAGCGACATGGAATTGGTCACTACGGAGCATAGCGCCGGTTGCTGGCAGATAAGGGGATCTGCAGTTTCAGCAGCCCTGTCTGTCAGCAGGTCACGTGATAAGCCAGAGAGAGGGATGTAGGGGAAAGGTTACAGAGGGGGCACGTGACGGAAGCCCGGGAACCCGCTAGGAGGTTCTAGAAGGGGGGCGTGGCCGGGGCGGAGCGAGGCCACGCTGGGAGGATAAAAGGGGACCCCAAGCGGAGGCTCGGGGCTGTTGCCTGGAGTGGGATCCCATCGTGCTGCCAGAGTCTTCGTCAGTCAGGCAGTCTTGCCAGCTGTCCTGACTGGGAGCTGTAGTTACCTCTTGTGAACTGTGGAGGCTATTAATAAATAGAGTGCCTCCTACTCCTGGCGTCTCCAAGTCAGTCGCTACATATGTACTGTGCCGTTATCTTTTTTGTGGGCGGTAACGTGGCCTAGCGGTAGCGCATTCGCCGCTTGTTGCAAAGGTTCGCGGGTCGAATCCACCGGCCGCCCCGATTAATACTGCGGTGTGCGATATCCAAAGCAACACAACCTGCTGTCTGCTTCACTCACAGTGGACGCTGAAGATCCCATGACGTCATTTTCAGGAGTAGGCCATACTGTGCCTGTGTCATGGTCAAAATTTACCCCAATGAATTGAGTTAAACTGCAAATGTAATTGATTGCAAATGTCTTCGTTCAGTCAAACTGCTGCAGATAACATACGGGCACCCGACCCAAAGCAGGGCTCTAGTTTCAGGCATTCCTCCAAATTCTAGAAATGACACTACACACAAGTGACACTGGTTTCACACAGAACTACACATGTTATGATATCCCTCTGATGAACTCCATATGCAACTCAATCTCCATTTGAGTGTAGTATAGTGACACACCATCGGCCTCCAAGAGGCGAAGCCCTTTATTAGCAATTCTTCCTGCACTGTATCCATACCGCAGCCTGACCATGGAGGTGCGACCAGTGAGTGTAGGGTCATGTGCAGCCCTTTTGTCAATGTTGAATGTGGGCCTCCTTACATACACCGTGTGGGTCGTAGGGATTATTTCACTAAACTTGTATGTCCACGACACTGGCCGGTGGGCTGAAGGAAATGGAATTGGCCAAACATTCTAACGCAGACCCTTTTTAATCTGCTGCTCGATATTGGCATTCACGTGAATCAAATGTAAACAGAAGCTACCTTTTTAGTCTTGTAAACAACGTGCAGAAATTTCAAAAAATTACAAAACCAGCTCAATAAAGAGGAAAAACACTTGTTTTTAAAAGTGGAAACTTGAAATCGATTTAATTCCCAAAATAAATACCGTGTGACATTAAATCATCGTTACACCGAGTTATCTACATCCTCACAAACCAATCGGAGTGGCAGTTACTTTAAACCAGGACACCTCCCCATTGCAAATGTATAAGGACATAAAAGAGAAGCATGTGGGTTACATTTATAATGAAATAGAGACATGAAACTGGAGGACCACAGCTACAGTAAAAACACTCATTAAAGCTGTGATGTCAATAAAGCACAATGACTCACTGAATGAGTGGCACTCAGCTCTATGGAGCTATCCCTGTAATAAACAAGCAAGGGGAACGCAATGAAATGATTTCCAGCTGAACCAAAGCAGTGCAGATCCAATCACCAGACTTCTTTCGTCCTCTCCACTGGCAACTCCTTAAGTCCCTGCAGTTCTCGCAAGCCCTGTAAAAAAACACATTAATACTCCGTGAAGATTTACGACTTGCAAGGTCTGCCGTGATACTTTTCACAATATAATACGGTTTTTATTTTCACGCCATGACAAATCGCAATATCAGTTTCCCTTCGTTTTGCGATTGTATTTTACATTTGTATTTAAGCTTCTTTTATATTATGCATACGTCCAAGCGCGGTTCGTCCACTAGGGGCGATGGGGAGCCGTACCACCAAGCAGCTGGAGATGATCAATTATTTCTCTAATAAAAATACTGTTCTATAAATGAATTGTTTAAAAAAACGTAGAAATGTTATTATTTCAACGCGAATTGCCTAATGAAGATAACATTTAAGTTGCAATACCACAGTCTGATTTGTTTCTTGGGGAGGTCTCGGGCGGCTGTGAAGGCGTCCGAGTGAGAGATATCCCTTCATTCATTGCGATGAACTTCGCATTTTAGCCACGTCGTTTGAGACCCATTCAGGGTGGTGTAAAAGGCGCCCATGGCTGTAATTACTATGTAAAAACGCTAAGTTGCACTGTGAAAATATAGCAGGTCACGGCCTACACGCTCTAGGAGAACACAACAACAATGGCGATGGCAGCAGGTGCATTAAACGAAGAATTAGCAACGAACACCGTGGAGTCACTCCTAAATGTTCCATTTGAAAGGATGAATATGCAGGAGAAGTTGAATGTCAAGCAACTGGGTCCTGATCAATCGACTTGAGGGTGATGGCGACAGCATTTGAGTGCTTTTTTATTTTGTTTCGTATTGTTTATAAATGCCTACCGTTGGTAGATAAAACAGTGATATCACCTTCACAGGAAGGCAAATAACACGACGAGGTTTTTCTTGATTAGAACATCATATCTTCAGAGCTCACTCACAACAGCCCCTCCTAGTGGAAATGTCCCGAGCCGCCACTGCATACGTCATCCTTTGTAAGACAGTTGCCTGGCTGTTTTACAAGGGAGATCCGTGGTACGTGAGCACACCAAAAACATAAAAATTTCAGAGAACGAGTACAGGGCCCTGAAGGAATATTGCACAACAACCGAGGTATTTTAACGGTCGTAAACGTAGCACACGCAGAGTCAAAAACAGTGCAAGTGTAATATGAAAAAGTTCGGTACAGGTCCATGTAAGTTCTATATTTCAGTCTAACAGTGACGACATAACCAAACAAATCGAAACAATTAGTGCAAACATGTGGGAGCAAAAGCCACAAGAAGTTAGGTACATGAACAAGTATGCTCTGTGTTTTATTTTAGTAGGGAAGTGAAGAGGCGGTGTGAAGGGAGGGAACCAAGCTTGTGCATTGCTGTATAATTTATTTAAAATATATTTAATTGCAGCTTATGCAACCTAAGACTGATGTTATTCCTTTGATCGATGCAACTTTACAATCTATAACACACATGCTGTCAGTCGCGCAGAAAACAAATTATTAAATTAGCTACAAAGAAACCATCAGTTACTCCAGGAAATGTTACAATTACTCCAGCACGAATTTAATGCATACAATATTTTTAGAAATGTTTATTACTATTAATTTAAGCAAAGTATTATTTAATTTTATTTAACAAATGTTAAATTTCCAATGATAACCATGACAATCATATTTTTCAAAACATACCATACAATTATCATGGATCTTTTGTCATGTTATATCGTATTGTCATCATATTGTGGCAGCCAAACTACTAACCCACAACACCAAATTCTAAATCCTTGAAATTTCCACAGTACAAAAAAAACATCACCTCCAAAACCATCTTGATGTTCGCCTTGATTTTGGCCGAATCCTTGGTGAGCTTTTCACTGTACCTGGCAACAACACAGCAAAGCCCTTATAATAATAATAAACTCCTCCACCTGTGCCACATTTGCTTGCCTTTGAACATATCTGCCAGATTGTTCCCGATCTCATCAGATCTCAGAAGCTCAGCAGAGCTGATAGAACGGCCTCAGAAGTTGATGGCACAGAACTAATTCTGAAGTCAACTTCAACCGGCTTTGGTTCTATTCGGTAAAGTCACGTAGGTAAATAATAAAACAACAATAATCACGACGTTTCGGCCACAACACAAGCGGCCTTCATCAGGTGAAGGGACGAGCCTGTCTGGAGGACAGCGCTGGAGTGGAAGAAGCCACGCTTAGATCACGACATTTAAGCTGTGTGAGAAGAAGAAGACCACGGGCTTTGACAAAGGAATTAGCATATAAATTAGCATTGAAATGGCTCATTGAAATAGCTAAGTTAATGTATACTTTAATGTATACTTTAACTTAGCTATTTCAATGAGCCATTTCAATGCTAATTTATATGCTAATTCCTTTGTCAAAGCCCGTGGTCTTCTTCTTCTCACACAGCTTAAATGTCGTGATCTGAGCGTGGCTTCTTCCAATCCAGCGCTGTCCTCCAGACAGGCTCGTCCCTTCACCTGATGAAGGCCGCTTGTGTTGTGGCCGAAACGTCGTGATTATTGTTGTTTTATTATTTACCTACGTGACTTTACCGAATAGAACCAAAGAGTATGGATCCTTGCAGTCACGAAAGCATTAAATCTAGAATTCAACCGGCTTCTTTTTTCCCCCACACTATGGTCACATACATATGCCATGAAAATTCTTAATGATCAAATCTGTCATTTTTTCTAAATGAAGTGAAAACCCAAATTCAATGATTGGAAGTTTTGAGTGCAATTACTGGTTACCAGGCTGGGACTATCAACTCTCTACACTGGATAACCTTGGTTTAATTACAGGTGGTGGCTGTCCAACCTAGGATCTCAGCATTGTGCGCTCATTGCTTTCACGCAGTAATCGGAAATGTGTTAACAATTTCACGCAACTGCCCGAGGTTTGCTTACTCGTTCATCTGCGTGGTTTTCTTGTCAATGAACTTTAGCGCTTCCGGGAGCGTGAATTCCACAAAAAATCCATAGCCCACAGAGACAAATATGTGACTTGAATCTGGCCTACAAATACAAAACATACAATGAGCTCTGACATGCAGTGGTACACCATCCATATATTCATTACATTAGATAATTACCTTTAAAATGTAATGGAACGGATTCAAAATTATCAAATTATTAGTTGTGACTTTTTTTCTTACTACCAAGTAGCAAATATTTTTCGATTCAAGTTTACTTTGTTTAACCAAGTGAAAACTCAGAGACCATGATAGTCTCGTTTACAAGAGTGACCCAGGTTACCATAATGACAAAATGAAAACAAATACAACAATTAAGTTAATAGGAATCAAAATAAAAACCAAATGTCAAATTAATGCAATACTAACAAGGACACAGTAACCTACTCTGGAGCTGTGAAAATCATTATTAAACACCATCACAACTTTCACAAGGCCATTCGCGCACGGTTGTTAATTTTATAGTTGTGTTTGGCTACTGAACAAAGACACGAGCACTGACACTTTAGCGTTGACGTAGAAGTTGCAACCAAGGTCAACCTGTGTTTTCAGTTCTTCCCCTGGGCACCCTGTCTCCTGCAACCAACCCATGGCACACCATAAAACACATTTACAAGAATACATTAATTACTTAGAACTTTGTCAGCGCTATCATATAAACTGTAGGAAAATTCAACTCAAATAGCCACGAGTTAAATTACGGCATCCCTTGGGCCAGGGTTTTTCACACTGGAAGCGATCGACCCACGTGTGTGCCACAAAGGTTCGGGGAGTAACCCGCCACGCTGTGGCCAGCCATGAGGTATGGCTCGCTGAGAAGTGACCATTTCAGTGATGTGGAGAGCTACACGAGAGATGCGACAGCTGTCGACAGAGGTCATGGATTCGCGAGATGAAAGGAAGATTAAACGCTAAGATATTAAAACGTCATGTTGACATGCAACTTAGGTCGGCGTTGCAAAAGAGGCAATGTTTCCTGCGTCAATGTGTTTAAATAAAGTATACAAACATACGACATTATTTGGCCCGCAAGCACATACTAGTATCAGTTATTTTAGCTAAGAGTTTTATTCGCTTCATTGTTGTATCGTACTTTCTTTTGTTTTGTTTTTGTCATGTTGGTGAGCCAGGAACATCAGGGGATACAGAGAGATGTTCCATCTCTCTGTATCCCCTGGTATATCTGTGTTAATTCCCCCTACTTAAGGTCTGTATATATATCTGCGGTTATGCGTTTCCTCTACCTGATGGTGATTGCTTGTGTTGCGATCGAAACGTCGTATGCTATTATATAATTTAATTTTTTATTATTTCTACGTGACTTTACCGAAAAAAACCAAAGAGTTTAAACTAATAGTTTTAAGTTTTATTAAAAATGTTAATGGTTGAAAACCTATCCCTTAACATTATTATGCATCACTCACAATCAATCAAGACGGCGCGCAATACATTTTGTACATTTCCGTATCGTGGGGTGGAGTGGTGACGCAGTGGTTAATGCACTGCGCTAGTTTAAATTCCCAGCTACAGCTTATATCAGTGGAACTATCCTTCCAGGTCTTGGGGCACCCAATAACTCGTTGTACCTGTAGTCTTTCGATGACATGCTTGAGCTGCAGATACTGCGCCGTTTTCTCATAAATCTTATCTCTTTCCTCCAACACTTTCCTGAAGAGGAGCACAGTGACAGCAAACACCACGTGTGTGTGTGTGGTATTTCAGTTGGAAGCGTGTTAACTTTATTGCAAATTACTTGAAATGCTTGTTATAGTTGATCTAAATTTCGATTTAAAGCTTTCGTGACTGCAGGGATTCATATTCTTGGTTCTTTCGGTAAAGTCACGTAGAACGAAGAATATAGTTGATCTACTTTAGGTATGGCACACACAAAGCCAATTTATTTTCTCAATAAGGTTAAGTTGTATACTTATTTTTTATGTATGATACAATACAACTGCAAAGATATCCGAATGGCAAATAAAATGCATTCAACATTGCTGAGCTATGTGCACACTAGTCCATTACAAAAATAAACACCTGCATCTCGTCATATCTCAGAAGCTAAGCAACATCTAGGCCTGATTGCACCAGCGTGAAGTATTGCCAAATAAGAGATGCAGCATCTAGTTACGTATTTAATAAGCGTTTAACTGGGTGCGATGATCAATGTTAAAATAATGCACAATGCATAATTTATAGACGCTGTTAAAATGTTTGTAAATTCGTGGTCATTACTGGACACCCTTGCAGAGTGGAGATGTTCGAACCCAAGGAATTTCCCAGGTTAAGTAATTTAATAAAATATACATGCGAGTACAAAATAATTTTGCTAGACAATTATACCACCTTCCCACGTGTCTCTCTCCACACACGAAAAAAAACATAAAAGCATTTTTATTTGTACACACATCCCATCAGCAAACACACGGCCTTTAAGGAGGGGACGTTTCCACGTTGAACACAAGCAAACTCCGCACCGGTTTCGATATTCGGTGCCACATCAGCAGTCAGGCTTGCTTGTTGGACGATATAGGGTTGCCAACCCTCTCGGAATGTACGGGAATGTCGACCCGATTCGAAATAAATCTCACGGTAACTGTCTAATTGAGTAATCCGAAAGATGAGCTTTAATAGGATTCATACTCTTTGGTTCTATTGGGTAAAGTCACGTAGGTGAAAATAAAATAACAAAAAATCACGACGTTTCGGCCACAACACAAGCGGCCTTCATCAGGTGAAGGGACGAGACTGTCTGGACTACAGCGCTGGAGTGGGAGAAGCCACGCTTAGATCACGACCTTTAAGCTGTGTGAGAAGAAAAACACCAAGCGCCTTGACAAAGGAATTAGCATATAATTTAGCATTGAAATGGCTCATTGAAATAGCTAAGTTAAAGTATACACATCCGCAGAGGTACCCCTTGACAAAGGAATTAGCATAGAATTTAGCATTGGAATAGCTGAGTGATTAGCTTGTAACTGGTCACAGAAATAGCTATGTTAAAGTCAGAGCATATACATTCACCGAGGCACCTAGTACTCATCAAACAGGATAATTTAGCGAAACACAACCACGCTCAGACAGCGGACCTTTAAACTGTGCGAGCAAACAAGGTGTTCTGACGAAGAAATTAGCATAAAAATTAGCATTTGATTGGCGGATTTTAGGAAAGAGGTGGTGTACGTGCCGTTTGGCGCGGGGGGGGGGGAAGGGGGGGAGGGGGAGTTTACCTATTGATGGTGTGAAAAGGGAATTTATAAGAGCTGCGAAAGTGTGGGGTACCACTACTTGAAAAATATACTGTACCATTGAAATTAGTTTAATGTTTAGTTCGATTTAGAACATCTTTCCAATGGTTGCTTAATTTGAAACCATCCTCCCGGTTGAAATTGTGTCTGTGTTTGTAGATCTGAATTGCTTCATGAACAAATCTCTGATAAAAGCCCGTGGGTTTGCAAAGAACCTTGGTATCGGAGAAAATTATATCGTGATCCCCCACAGCGTTGTAACAGTGATCAGCCACGGCAGAAGAATTCGTTTTGCCGTGTTTCAAATCTGATTTGTGCTCGCGAATTCGGTCAGAGACATGTCGCTTTGTCTCACCGATATAGCAATCACCGCAGGTACAACTCAATTTGTAAACCCCGGGGTACTGTAAATCAGGAATGACATCCTTCACGGATGAGATCAGATCACGAATTTTGTGTACTGTATTGAACCGGACCTGGATCTTGTGTCTGTTTAGAATTTTGGAAATCTTTTTAGTAACGCCTGCTATATATGGAAGTGTGATGGTTTTGACCGGAGTATCAAGTGGTTGTTTCTGTATGGAGGGAGAGACAGCTTGGCGGATGGTACGGTCAGAGTAACCATTCCTTTTGAGGGCCAGGTGTACATGTTTTAATTCACTGGTCAGGTGGTGTTGGTCCGAAATGCAATGAGCCCTATGGTATAAAGTTTTGATGAGAGAATTCTTTTGGGCTGGGTGGTGGTGGGAATCAGGTTTCAAGTAGGAATCTGTGTGGGTGGGTTTCCTGTAGACAGAATGCCCTAATGAGCCATCAGGTCTCCTCTCAAACAGAACATCTAAATGTTATTTTTTTTAAAAAATCTCCCCAAACAGCTTCGGTCAAAGTTTGCAAACCTCGGATGAGATTATTCGCACCATGTGCATCTATGCAATGGTTGTTTATATGTACTGTGCAACACGTTGAACATTCTTTCGCACCGTACTTAGCCGACCGTGCTAATCGTGAGGTGCGGGGAAGGACAATCTCGAGGAGGCCTATCGAACAGCTCGCAACATTGACTCGGGGAGCCGCCACAGACTTCGCTTGACGACGACGCATCGTGGCAATAATGGGTGGTTTGGGGGGAAATCCACGACGCGAGGCGGGCGCGAGGAGCAGATACAGCAGCAACAACAACAACCACCACCACAGCAGTAGCAGCAGCAGAAAACAAACAAACGCAATGCTCACTGCAGGTCTCGCTTGAGCACTTCGTTGATGAACGCTTCGTACTCCGTCACTTTGTCGCGCACGCCGGCCTTGCTGCCGCGCTGCGACAGGGACATGTCCGTCGTCGTCGTCAGCTGCTGCTACTGCTGCTGCGGGGACGGAGTCGATTCCCCGCGATTATTCATCGCCGCTCCGTCCCCTCGGGCGCTTTTGTTTTATGATGGGACTCTTCCGTGACGTCATTTACGTAGGCGTGCGCGTGACGTCACCTTACGCCGCTCGAGAGACGATCGCATCGGCAAGATTTTTTTAGGGGACGTCATTACGTCGCCGTGCGCGTGACGTCACCTTACGTCGCTCGAGAGACGATCGCTTAGGCAAGATTTTTTTTATGGGACGTCATTACGTCGCCGTGCGCGTGACGTCACCTTACGTCGCTCAAGAGACGATCGCTTCGGCAAGATTGAGCGGACGTCACTCTCGGTGGCGTGCGCGTGACGTCATCGCGTCGCAGCGACGAGACCAGTGTTGAAGTGGTTCGCGAGTGACGCGTCGACGAAACGTCTGCGTGCGACGTCGCCCCGTAGCAGCGCGAACCGGTGGTGTGTCGTTGGAAAGGCGGGTCCGTGAATGACGTCACGACGCAAACTTGCGTCGTGACGTCACCACACTCACATCTCGCTCGTCGAGAACCGCGGCGGTGTTGCCGTGACGTCATCACGCACGCTCAGCGCCCCCATCATCACAACACGACCGGTGGGCAGAGAGAGAGAGAGCGCGCGAACAGAGAGTGTGAGACGAGAGGAGAGAGAGGAGGAGAAGGAGGAGGAGAGAGGAGGCGGCGGCAGTGTTTGTCCGGCACTGATGCATGCGGCCGTGCGCTGGCAGAAGCAGCAACAGCGATGGAGAGGTTACTGGAGGTGGACGCGCTACGCAGCGCCGCCGAGTTCGCCTCGGAGTTCGCGGCCGACTTCGCCGAGTCGTGGCTCGCCAACGAGCAGCAAGCGCTGCTCTTCAAGGTGGCGGCCGCGTGGCTCCTGCTGAGCCTCGTGCTCATCAACGTCGCCTGGTGGTACTACGGGCCCACCATTTACGACATGGAGCGGGCACAAGGCGAGTGATTGCTCCACGGGCGGGGAGTTGGTGTGGCTGGTGGGGGGGTGGGGGGGATGAAGCGCCGTGCTTTGGGACCGGTCAAAGGCCTCGTCCTCATCATCATCATCGTGGGCCTTAAGGTTGGAGATCTCGGTCAATATCCAGGGTCATGGTTTGGTTTAATCGGCCTGCGTTTGTTTCAAAAGCCGATGCTGCCGGCACAAGTATTCCCACTTGCGTTACGTACACCTTGTGTCGGCACAGGGACAGCTGCCATCGGGGGTGCCCCCGCTCCTGGCTAGAATACGGCAGAAGCAGTGGATCGTTTGAGATGAGTTGTGATGCGCTTGGAGTTACCGAGGCATTTAAGCACGCGTTGCAAATCCATATCAAAGACATGGCTTTGATTATTTGATTGAACGCTTTTAATGTAACTTATTGCTTCGTTATCCATCGCGTACATTCGTTGCGTTGTTTGGTTATTTGAGCGTGTTCTCGATATGGCTTTGGAGTGGGGTCGGTATTTTGTTTTACTTGAATTCGTCTTTTCCAGGAACTGGTTGATCGTATTGTAGCGTTTGTGATGTCGATGTTAGTAAGAGAACGCTTTCCTAAATCATTCATCGCTTAGCCCCTACATCTCTCGCTCTTCTGTTCCCGGCGGTTTTAGTGAACAATTGATATACCTGGTGAGTAAGTTTGTAAGTGATTATCACAGGTTGGGTCAGGTCACACTCTGTTTGCGGCTATGTACCTCGAGTCGGGCGGTACGGCCTACCCGTGTCTACCGACGTCGATGAGGGGGAGCCGGTAGGGGAATCTATCCAAGTCCGCCAAGAGACCGGGTTGGATCGGAGAGACACGCTTATTAGGTAATTATGTAACATTGCGTTGTGACGAAGTTCGTTAGGAAGTTTTATTCGTCCTTAGTGGTTGTACGCGCCTGCCAACACAGTCCCGTATTATGATTGTTATAGGGATTGGGGAGGCCATCATCCAGCAGTGGATTGTCCATGGCTGATGATGGGGTGAGGGGGAGTTGATGTTGCCTCCTGTTTCCTCCCCACTTGGTAAGCGTGAGAGCCGGTAGGGGATCTGAGATCATAAGCCGGTTGGGGGCCGGGTAAGATGCAATTCCGTGATATCTTTAGCCATTACTGACCAGCGTGGTGTGAAGTACGGTCAAACAATCCCCACGATTTGGATTGACGACGGTCTGTGTACGTTAACACTGCGTGACGTGAACAGCATGTACGACATTTGAATGGGAGAGACGGTTACAGGTGAAGGAGGGGAGGAGGAAGGATAAAGCCTTGGAAGAGAAGAACAGATTCAGCAGTGCAGACAGCTCGGAGGGAGAGGGAGCCCTAAAGCCATGTGACCAGCAGAGGAGGATGATCAGCCAACCGCTGCTTGACAGAGATGAAAGGGCATGGTAGAGGGTAGGTAGTTACGTGATGGAGATTACGAGAGACCTACAGTGCAGTAAAATATGGCCCATTGGATGACATTGACTAGGTTGACAGTTGTAAGCGGAGTAGAATATGGTGTTAATGCATATGAAGGTGTAACACTCAGAGCGCCACACAGCTGGAATTTTTTTAACACATTGCTATACCTGTACAGCCATCTCTTGGGCACCTAACAGCCCGAACCCTACAACGCTTGGTATTCCCAGACAGTCTCCCATCCAAGTACAGATCTAACAAGATTTGTCGCTTTTAGGTTAATTTTGTATTGAGCACTTTTTAGCAGATGGGTGGAATCGATCTGTCAATCAATGTAAACACCGGGTGAGTGGGAGTTTAGCCAGATGCCTGTACTGTACCTGGCTTAGCAATGATGAACTCTGAGACCCTCAACATATGTTACAGCCTATTGCTGCCTACTGGGTTACATGAAGGAAAGCAAGTAGCAAAAGCTCTATGACATTCATAATCATTCTATATTCTTGGTTCTTTCGGTAAAGTCACATGACTTTACCGAAAGAACCAAGAATATGAATCCCTGCAGTCACGAAAGCTTTAAATCAAAATCATTCTATTATTACGCTTGTTTAATCAGGAAAGCCTCACTGAATCTCAATACTGTACTCTTTTCATGAGGTTTCTGCCAGGTATTTTTTTTTCAGTCGGGGTCGATGTTGCTATGTGTAATCACAATGGAAGCAATTAACAGGCAATTTTTCAGAATTGTGATATTTTGGCTAATATCGGTTATGCTGTGCATTTCTTTAGCTGTGTGAGTAACACAAAGAGCCCATTGGATACACAAGCTGAATGAGGAGAATGCATAAACTCCACACAAAAAGGCGTCCGGGTCAGGAATCGAACCCTGGGTCTTCTTCACAATCAGAATCATCAGAATGTTTATTTATCCTGGAGAAATCTTGCTGTGAGGCGCAAGTGTTACCTGTGCGCCATCCTGTCGCTCAATTGTCAAAACACTATTTGAATTTTCTCCCCACGCTGTCAGTCATGGGTATTATTTGACCATACTTCACACTGGTCATTGTGGGTTGGTGAAGGGGGCCCAGGACTTGTTCAGCCATGGCCCGGAATTGAACCTGGGTTCCTAGCACAGTGCACTAACCAATGCACTACGTTTTATTGTTTAATTACGCTGACATTCATTTAGCTTTGCAAGAGACGCTTGAGACGTCTTGCCTCAATAAGCTCTCACTTTGTTTACGAGTAGGGGATTTTATTGGTTCATTTTGTTAATTGCTTACATTTTCCTCTTGCAAATGGCCTCCGTTTTAAATAATACTATCAAAGCAGGGATGCACAATTTTTTTTTATTCTACAACGAAAACGTATAATTAAGAGTGTAAGAAGTCATAATAGATGGTGGTAAACGTGCAGCACCACAATTATTTGCTCACACCACTGCTGGCAGAAGGTCTTTCACTCGAAGGACCTCTAGAGAACCCGTGTAGAGGGTATTTGGCCTACTCACTTTACTCCGCCAAACGTGTGCTGCTGATCAAATCAACTGCGATGTACCCATTCATGCTACCTTGTGGATAGAGAGGGGGGAGTTTAAGAAACTTACACCATTGATTTGCTTGCCGCACAGGCAGATGGAACACGGCGACCTCTGGATTGCAGTCGGGTGTCCTGACTTAAAACGCAGCGGCATCCCTGTAACAGTCATAATGTCTTTTACGTAAAAGCAAATTCAATGCAGAACATGAAGAACAGAGTTGTGTTGCTAAATAAAATGCAGCAGGCACTGGAATATTGGATGGACTTTGGCCGTAGAGTTTCCTTTGTTTGGCAATCCAAATAGATAGTGCATTTTGGAGATTGTATGTGTTGCTTAATATAATTAGAAATACCCCTTTTTCTTTCAAATAAATATATAATGGGACCCGTTTGACAGCTTAATGTGGCTATAAATCCTTAGCATTTAGCTGTATACAGCACATCGCTTCTGGGACTGTTATTGCATTGATCGTGAAAGTGACCATATTATGAAAAAAAAATTGTTTTAGTAAGATTACACATACTCTGAACGTACATCTATATTTAATAATTACCTTGTGTCCCGACTGCCATTTAAAATTACCTTGTGCCCTTACCGCCATGCCAAACGAGTGTCCAATAAAATATAATCACTTTCACAGTCGCCGATATCCCAAAAGCAGCCGATTCGAGCTTATGCTGATTCAGTGAATAAACTAAATACTTGAGGCAAAATATGTTGTACTTATATGTTTTTGGTCATTTGTGTTTTTTAGGCTAATTAAACAAACAAAAAGTACGAGACAAAATAAACGTGACAACAAATTTGGTCGAAGAATCAAATCGCAACCTTTAAACGTGACAAATCATCAACTCACTGTGGCAGTTAATTGTTATTCTGTATGGCTATTTTTTGCTTCTAACAAGACGTGTGGAATTCTATTCCTAAAGATCCTGTTAAATGTTTGTATTATATAATAACAAATCAAATAATTTGATTATTATAGAATTAGTAAAACAATATTTAGTCTTGATAGTCTTACAACACTGTTGTGGCATGTGATTTAAGCAAGAAATTATCAGGATGCCTGGAGGATATGCAGGTCTTTGATGATGTAATTAGGGCAGGAAATGTAACCCCCCCCCCAATTCTTTGCCAGCAACTGATTAGCCAAATAAGAGAGACCTGTGATGGTTCTCACAGCAAACTTCACTCCTGTGTGCATGTGTCAAACTGATCATTACAAAATGAAATCATGTACTAATGCATTGCTGGTGTCTGTTGAGCATTTGGGTAAAACATTTATAACCATAAATTCAGCACTTTGTCTCAACAAATGAATAAAATATATGTTTTGACCAATTGGCCTAGTGGCTTTCCAGACCAATATTATTTGGCAGTATCTGTTTATTCAAGCAAGCTTTGAACCGGTTTTGACTTGCAGGATCTCATCAGCAGAGTGAGACTTGTTAAACCAAAGTTTCAGCGTTAGCAGATGTTATTGGCAAGATCACTCCATCCAAACTATGGTATCCTGTACAATCCCAAAACAAAAAATGTGTACTTACTCAAGATGCTTTGTGGAGCATTATGGTTCAAGGCATGTGTAAGCGGAACTCTGTTTCTGTGTCAAAAGGTACATTTTGTTCACAAATCATTACTGAAATCTGCATCATAATCATCCATCAGAATATTGAGAAAGGACTATAAATGACTATAATTATTGCAATTTATATCACGAGTTGCATCACAGAAATAATTCCACATCTCACCAATATTGTTGTTTTGCATTCAGCTTCTTTGCTTATAAATGTTTTGCCGAGCTTTTTTTTGTTCATACCATAGGTCCCACTTGTAAAAAAATACCCGTCACAACAGGGGTAGGCCAAATATATTCTCTAAAGCAGTAGTTCTTATCCATTACTGCAGCCTTGCACCCCTTTGATTCTCAATCGTAAACAAATGTATAATGTTAATAAAGACATAGAGGTTTGATGAAACAAAGTAGTTGTACTTACGTGCCCGTGCTTAATTTGTGTTTCGATGATTTACCTTCTAAAAATACCTGGCCATGTCTCGCACCCCCAGAAAGGGCATCTCGTACCCCCAAGGGGTGCGTGCACCCCAGGCTAAGAAGCACTGCTGTAAAGGGTCTCTCTCGCGTTCCCTCTAGTTGAGGCCCTTTTGCAGCAGTGACGTGAGCAAGCAATTGCAGTGCCCGCACCTTCACCTATCATGAAGCACCCCCTGTGATGGGCCCATCTTTGGTAATGAGAGTGGATTTGCGGAGGAAATGCAAGTTACGTCATAAAAGTCCTTGGCATGATTATGCATGATTATGCCAAGGACTTTTATGATATAAACCGATTTGCTGGGCTTACTTTTGTAAGGCAATCAACTAAACTGCCCGAGATGAATGAATAAATGAGTTCACGAGCGAGTAAGTGTTATGGGTAATGCGATTCATGCCGTGTGATTGTCTCTGCAGGCTCTGTTCCAGACCCCCTGGTTCCAGATGGTCAGACGACCAATGACTGGTAGGTGAGAGCTTTAACTGGCTAAAAGAATCGTTACTGTGCACGTTTAGCTGTTAATGCCTTTAACAGAGTGAGAAGTATCTATTTTAGCGATGACCTGTTGCCAACAATACCTTTGGTTGAATGTTAATTATGTAAATTGTTTGTGTAAGACCATTAAAATTATTCTGTAAGGAACACAAAGTATTAGGTGTTGCGTACGTTTTTGCTTGCATTTAGTTCCAAAACTGTTTTAATGAAGGTTGAAAATAGATTTATTACCACAAAAATAGCATTCGTTAATAATTGTTCTCATGAAACAAATGATACAGCATGCACTGTCTAGTATTCTGTATAACCACATGATTAAAAATGAAAAAAAAAAAAATCTGCATTTATTTATTTGAATAGTTCTCCCATTTTCCCTCTGCAAAAACTGAGGACTTGAAATGCATTTGACTACAATGATAGAATTGAAACTACACAAAACCCAGCACAGGCAGCTGAGCACACAAACCTCAGAGCTAATTCCAACTGCTCGCTAGCAAAACACTAGGATCTCCATTTGACAATCGGTATTTCCCCGACCTCTGTATAGCTGGTTGCCACTGTAACGCCTTATTTTACAATGCAGAACCGGTCATACGGTAGAAGATTAATATAGCACACTTGTGATATGGAATACTGGTGGGAGAAAGTCGAAAGGTAACTTCTGATACAAGCACACTTTGGATATAAGTGCACATTGGCTTGCTCCCAAGCGGTGTTTTATATACACAGCTTCTTCTGGAGTACAAAAGTGCCTGCGCACTGAGCTATAAACCCGTGTGTTATTCTTAGCCATTGCTAACATCAGTTGCCGAAGTTCTGTCCTGGACTGACCAGCATGGTGAACTACGGTTAAACAACAATCTCCATGAACGACACTGTGTGGTGAATCCTTCATCTCAGCAGAGGATTGACAAAGGACTGTAAATTATAAAATTATTATTGATATAAAAATGAACTTTAGAAATAAGTCAAATATATTACCCCACCTCCCAATGACTAGATTACAGGTGTGCCCCACCACTCCCAGATCTAACTAAAAGTAATGCAGCTTAAGCCCATTAGATTGAAATCCAAGTACATTTGCTAACCAATAGCCACACAGTGCAATTGGTTATACGTGTCCATGTAATACATTTGAATCTGGGTATAAGTGCACCCTTTAGAAGCAAGGCCAGATGTGCTTAAAGTGTACTTGTATTAAAGTTGCCCTTTGCTTCCCCCACCCCCCCACCATTGTGATGTAAGGATATGTTGCTTTCATAAAAAGTGCAGTTATATGAGATGTGCACATATCCATTCAACTTAGGGCGAACTGTAAATGAGGAAAACCGCTGAGCAACATCACCACTTTCTGTTACACTACTACTGCAATCAATGCTCGTCTGGGAAATGAAGCGCCATCATGAAAGCCTCACGTTAAAATCATGGCGCAAATTCCAAATGAATTCCTGATTTCATTATTTAATAATCAAGAGGCAAATGTCTCCTGCTCCTCCTTGTATGCAGCCAGTTTTTTTAACAGTTGTAGGTTATGTGTGTGGGCACGTGGGCATTTTGCCTTAAAAGTACACATAGCCTGGTACAAGCGCCGTGGTGATGTCACCGCTACTTAGTGGCGAATGACGATTGTTGTTGTGAGGGTAAGGGGAGCAGTGGCACAGCAGTTAGCGCACTGCGATAGGAACCCGGCGACCCGAGTTCGATTCCTGCTCATGGCCACAACACCAGTGGCGATTATCTAAGCCGGTTCTGGGCATCCCCTCGGTCGACTCAGCCTCATGTGAGTAACTGGTCCGATGTGTAAACATCGCCATGAGGGAGACAAAGGCGGTCGGACGTGGTGCTGGCCACCCCACCCCCATCATAGGTGCTAATCACTAACAGCACTTGCCCCAGCAGACTGTTAAGGCTACACGGGGGATCACTTTTTTTTGCGAGGGTGCGATTCGGTGGCATACGCATGACCCAGCTGTGTTGGCGTGCAAATCTTCCCAGGTTGCGCGCAGAGAATAACGAACGGCGGATGCACAGAGACTGATGACGTTGCACGCTGTGGGGAGTGGGGGGGGGGGGCGGTCGGAGGGGGATCTGCTCCGCCACATCCGTCCAACGCCTCCGAATGCCGCGTGGAGCCGCAGTACAAACCCACGGCGTGTGTACACGAGCGTCCGTTTTACAAAACACGTTTCTCTGCGGTGCATTGGAAGTGATTGAATGACGAGCCAGTATTTTTTTTTTTGGCATTAATTTATGTAAAAGAAAACTATGGAAAACTCTTATTGCCTAATTTGCTTTGCCGTTGTTTTCTCGTGTGTTTTTCGAGGTTGAACAAACGGATTACTCTCTTCCTCGTTGTTGTTGAATTTTTTTTTACAAGAGTAGCACGTCATTGCAATCAGGGTTTTTTTCCGTCAAAAACAGCCATGCCAAATGAGCTCGTGATGAGAAATTGGGGCGAGATTAATTTATGAAATCACAACGATTGCTAACAACAGCAAATAATTCGGCACAACTTTGTAGGCAAATATTCGCTTCCTGTCCCAAGAACATCTGTGCTTTCCAAGAGCTTCCATCGCTTCTTAACAACGCGTGTGACTTAGAACCGGCAAACGTTGAGTCAAATCCACCTGTTGGAAATGAAGTCTGCCCGATGATCTCGCACTCAGATGACTGCCACCAGACTCCGAAAGTTTTAGTTAAAGCGCCAATGTGAATTTTAAGTATTGCATTTGTTAAGTGGGGTTTCTTTTTGTAAATATATTTATTATTGATGTATGTGTTTGTTGGAATTGCCATCAGAAGTGATCTACACCATTGCCATTGGGAAACTTTCAATTGATCGGTCGACATAAAATTAGTATTGATAGCGAACTTTGTTTTGGCATCACCGATGCAGTTGTTTGTTTCATGCTGCAATTTGGAGAAACGAATGGAGCGAGCGAACGAATGCTCTGCTGGTTTTTGGCTTCACGGACGTAACAGGTTGGTGGGCAACGGGAGGATGGCGACGTGCTTTGTCATGGGCGGCAAAGAGGCGCAGTGGTAACACTCATGCATCGCACCAAGAGGGAGCCTAGGTGTGATTCCCGGCTCGGGCTGCTTTCCACGTGGAGTTTGTACGGTCTCCCCCTGCTATGAATGGGATTTCTCCCATGGCTAAGAAAAAAAAACGTACAGCATAACTAGAATTGGCCAAGTATCCAAGTGTTGAAAAGTTACCTGCAAATTACTCAATGGGGATTACACACAGCATCAGAATCAGAATATTTATTTATACTGGAGGCATTTGATGAGCTATAGAGCTCTTTTTCACAGGTGTCCAGTAGTAACATTGTCCGCTACTGCGAAAACCTAGTAAGACCCTCCTGAAAAAGATATTGCGACTCAGTGAGGCTTTCTGGGTAAACAAGCTAAATAATGTTTTATACATTTCTCTGGTTGCATATACAATGTTTTGATTGTGTACCTGGTGGAAGAGGCATTGTGGGTCAAGAGATTGAGCCTTAACATGCTTTACAGTGTAAAGAGCCACATTCTAAAGCAGGCTAATTTTAATTCTCACTTCACTAACTGAAGACTAAAGTCGTCTGCAGAGTTTTTAATATTTAACAAAGTGTGATATAAAATAAATACATTGTTTTAATGAACGAATGACCCCTTAAGATGTTGTGGCATTTTGCAAACACAGTAGCCTAGCCAAACATCAGATTTGTGTATTTACAAATATAGTGTGACAATCCATTCTGCGTAGTAACGGCTTAGGATATTTTGCACATCTGGTGCAATTTTGAAAACCAAATTAATAGATTTTGTGCAATGGCTTAATAAGGCCATTTTTTTGCTGGTTTTGAGATCTACAAATGAAAATCTACATTATAATTTTAATATGCAAGGTCAACGAATTTGCACTTAGTCATGTGAAATGTATTGTCACTTCCCTGGACTCCCAAGTTTATTTGTTTGGAGTCAGCTGTCAGCTGTGTATGATAGATAACTTTTGGTGTACCAGATGAGTGAATGTGTGATAGTTTGACGTACCTTGCCAGTGCATAAAGGTGTTATATTGCTCTCTTAACGTGTTGCTTTTCAGCTATCTAAAATACACAACGTAAAATATGCCGGTTATGGCATATACGACTGCAACTGCTTAGTTAACTTTAATTGCCTACTCTAAAGATGCACGTGCATGCGTTCATTAAATGTATTGCCACGAGGTAAACATTGAGGTGGTGAGAATTAGTTGTGTTGTCTTGTCAACTACTGTAACGGGTCTCTTTCGGATTGTTGTGTGCATCTTCACAGAGAACATAGGCAATCGATCCCTCCAAAAGGCAATATTATTGTTTGTGGAAATCTACCCAGTTGTGAAAATAATACATTTTGAATCTCTATACAGTAGACGCTGTATATAAGCCTACCTCTTTGGAGCAAGTTCAACGTGTGCTTCTATCAGAAGTTTCCCTTTCCGTCCCCCCCTCCCCACCAGTTTAATGTAAGCACGTGTTAGATATATGAAGACTACTATAAAATTTAAAAAAAAACTAATTCGTCAGTAACACTGCCTTAAAAATAAAGTTGATATGTTATGCAACGTTTCGTGCAAACGCCCTTGACAGCACATGGCCCAGACGGGGGGAGAGAGCGTATTGGAGACGGAGCTTTGCATACCGTGAGGCCTTGCAAGTGCCGTCCCCACCTCTCCACGTGATGTCGAGAAGGACCAATTTGCCAGACACATCGCCCGTGTGATGTACGTTGTTAGTTTTTAAGGCAGTACGATTAACGAACGCGTGGAGGGTTTTTGTATTTGCGATGTGTGCACCCACTCCCAAGGCAGTATCACCAAATAAGTAGCGCTTACATAAGGTGTGATTATACCCGGCTTCAACTGGATTCAGATGGAAATAAAGAATTAAAGCTTTCGTGACTGCATAAATTACTCGTGTTTTTTTTCGGTAAAGTCACGTATGTAGAAATACCATAAAATTAGATTAAAATAAATCAATCACGACGTTTCGACCGCAACACAAGCGATCTTCATCAGGTGTAAAAAAACAAATGGCACATAGGGTGACATCAACGCAACACATAGAGAGCGTTAAACTGCACGGAGGTAAATTCTTCGGCCCCTCTCCCCACCTCTACTGCTTATTTTAAGCCTCTGTTCATCCCTCCGGCCCCTTTTTCTTGCTTCTCTTTCCTCTTTTTACCTCGTGTCCCTGTATATGTATTTCTGCTATCGTGTACCTCGTATTTGTTCACTGTCTATGCTGGTATGTTCAACCCAGAGGATGAACACGAAATTTAGCACTCTTCTGAAATTCGTGGTCTGCCAGGCAAGTGTCTAACTGTGTCGTTGGCCGACTGGTTTTGCATCACGTACATTTTTCTTAGGTTTGTTGAATTCTCGTCTCTCATCTTCTTGTTGTATTTACCTCCGTGCAGTTTAACGCTCTCTATGTGTTGCGTTGATGTCACCCTATGTGCTATTTTTTTTTACACCTGATGAAGATCGCTTGTGTTGCGGTCAAAACGTCGTGATTGATTTATTTTAATCTAATTTTATGGTATTTCTACATACGTGACTTTACCGAAAAAAAAACAATGTGGATTCAGATGTATTTGGCTTAATATATTTGTGCGAGTTCAAGATTCATTGGGGCCGGCGATTGGCTGCTTGCATTCTCTCTTTTATGGAGTCTCCATTTAATGTTTGTGGTGTACTTAAGATGTTCTAAGAATGTTTTGAAAGTAATTTGATTTGGTACTGCACGTTGAATAAAGGTGTCTACAACATTCTTTGGTTCTTTCGGTAAAGTCACGTAGGTATAAATAAATCACGACGTTTCGGGCGTAACACAAGTGTCCGTCATCAGGTGGGAAAGCATGATGACGGACGCTTGGGAAAGCATGATGACGGATGCTTGTGTTGCGCCCGAAACGTCGTGATTTATTAATTTTTTCTACCCACGTGACTTTACCGAAAGATGACAAAGAGTATGGATTCCTGCAGTCACGAAAGCTTCAAATCAAGATTATTAGCTACACTTAACACGGTGGTGACTTTATTGCCCAAAATACAGGGTGAACCAATTCCAACATATTCTTAGTTTTTTCGGTAAAGTCACGTTGAAGAGAAACAAACTAAATAATATAATATATATAAAACAATAAAAATTCTCACGACGTTTCGACCATAACTCAAACGGTCATCTTCAGGTGTGTTGGTTTGCATAAATTTATTTTTAAACGGCGCATTTATTTATTTATAAAAAACGTTAGCGTCACGCGCAGCGATTTGGCAGTTTGCCCAGGACTAGTCCATCTATTTTGAAAAGAGGAGGGGGGAGACGAATTTTTTTATAATGTATGCTGTCTGAAAGCCACTGTAAGCGTGAACAATCAATTAAGAACTGAAATGGTTTATCAAATCTTTCCAATGATTGCTAAGATAGAATCCGTCTTCTCGGTTGAAATTGTCTCTGTGCTTGTATATGTGGATAGCCTCATGAACGAATCTCTCATGGAAGCCAGATGATTGTTCACGCTTACAGTGGCTTTCAGACAGCATACATTATAAAAAAATTTCGTCTCCCCCCTCCTCTTTTCAAAATATAGATGGACTAGTCCTGGGCAAACTGCCAAATCGCTGCGCGTGACGCTAACGTTTTTTATAAATAAATAAATGCGCCGTTTAAAAATAAATTTATGCAAACCAACACACCTGAAGATGACCGTTTGAGTTATGGTCGAAACGTCGTGAGAATTTTTATTGTTTTATATATATTATATTATTTTGTTTGTTTCTCTTCAACGTGACTTTACCGAAAAAACTAAGAATATGAATTACTGCAGTCACGAAAGCTTTAAATCAAAATTCAATTCCAACAACATGTTATTGAATATTGTGAAAGCTGTGTTGGGCAAAGTGTATCAGGAGGGTGATCAAATGTGGAGGCTTTAAATTAAAATGTTGACTTCTGCCTATATATTTTCGCCCTGATATTTGAGTGGGGCATCCATAAATGGATCACCGCCTATCGAATAAACGCCTCTTGTATTATTTTGCCCACAGCAGTAACAAAAAAGCAACTTTAGCATGGTTTAAAAATAAATCCTTTAAGTTAAACACATTTTTAACTTGAATTTTGGTGTCGTGTACAGAAATGTTGTTTTAAAATGCTGTTCGCTTTGTCCTGCTACGTGTTACGATGCGTCTGTGTGAACTCAGCGGTTGTGGAGCAAAATTATCCAGTGCAGTGCGAAGTTTGTGCTCCAAGTTGTTAGTGCCAACTGAACCAGGTTGACTGATGGTCTTGGTTTGAGCAGGTTATAGAACATTGACCTTCATTAAGTCTTTTTTGTGACGTGTGTATCCCTAGTTCAGTCAGTTTATTTCGGGTAAGGCCCATGAAGCTAACAAGCTCCATCAAAATATTTCTATAGTTATCAGGCATGTCGTGATGGACCGATTTGTTGATTATAATTTATTGTTTTCTGTTCATGGCACGTGTATCGAATCACACATGTGATCATCTGTTATATTACATGCTAAATTTCACATGCAGCAATAATTGGAGCGAGCAAAACTGTAAAAAAAAAACGAAACTTTCCCAGCAGGACGGCAACATCGAAGCAAATATCGATGATTTCACTAAGACTCGTGGTCATTCGTAACATTTTTCTGGAGGAGAAAATTATTGCATGCCCAATTGTATTGGAACAATTTATTTTTTTAACATGTATAAATGTAACATTTTGGCTTTGACACCAGCACAATGCGCACTACGATAACGCACGTTGTGCGATAAGTTTTCCCCCAGCACTGTATTGGCACACGCGAGCGCGGTTATTTTATTTGCGCCACACTCGTCGATGTTTCACGTGGGTAAATGAAAACCCGCGGGACGCACTCCCAGCAAGAGCGGTCGCTGTGTCCACAGCGAGGCCTGGTTAAATATAACCAGGGCCTCGCTGTGGTTAAATATAACCAGGCCTCGCTGTGGTTAAATATAACCAGGCCTCGCTGTATCCACAGCGAGGCCTGGTTAAATATAACCAGGGCCGCGGAGAGGAGGATTGAATGTCCCTGTTCCACACCCCCCATATTCTACAGAAAAATGGAATGCCCCAAATGTTGTGACCATCGTCATCATCGCATGCTTCTTATAAAATTGGCCAATGTCACTGTGCAAAGGTGGTTTGGAATCTACCATGTGTTTTGTAGAGGGATGATGCGCTGGGGTGGGGGGGTCGGTGCATATTCAAACTTTTGCCAGCTTAGCTTCCTCACTGTCCTGTGCTTTGAACCGCATGCATCGTCATGTGCATTCGAAAATATTGAAATCAGCGGGGCTAAACGTTCGTGTGCATTTCTTCATTGTGGGGAAAATCACTACGGTAACATTTTTCACATTGGATAATTTGCATTTAGCAGCTGTGTGTTCCACATTCTAAACGTTAGGCTGAACAATCTGGTGAAGACAATTAAAGCAATGTATCAAACTATAACAGAACATGCAGTTGACACCCGTCCTGGCTTGTTGAATCCAAATTGCCGCAAAATTTCACCTTAAAGTCAACTAAATTGGAGCACGTTGAAATCGTAAACCGCAGTGTTCGCGCACTTGCCTCCCAAGGTGGAGTAAACTATTTATTTTGTTGTGTATATAAGCGATGTACATTATTGTTTGAATATCACATGCAATGGGGGAGGGGATGTTGCCTCGTGCGTTTGCATTCGTTTGTTGTTGCCGCGTTAAACCCCGTGGAGGCTCCGAGGCGTTCGTTCTCTTGTGTGCTTGTAGGGGGAGCTCCCTTCCCCCATGCTGCCTTTCAGTGCCATGCGTTAATAGTTTATTTTTAAGTTTACAACAGGAAGAGAGGAAAAAAAACACCAAAGCCCCCCCCCCCCTCCTCCCCCCGGCTCTACATGACTCGGCAGTGAGTCAATAAAATAAATTTAGCAAAGTGCAAACTTGATTTGAAGCTTTCGTGACTGCAGAAATTACTCTTTGGTTCTTTCGGTAAAGTAACGTAGGAAGAAAATAAATTAAGTAGTAGAATGTGACATTT